GCTTTACACACATTTTGCAATTCAAAATGGCACTGCACATGATTCTCTGCACAAGACACAACAATCTGACATAAAGTCACATGTTTGCCATTTCAAAACACTGCCATTCAAAATGACACTACATGAGCTAATTGGCCATTACATGTGCCACCTGGCCAAACACCTCAATGGTTAATTGTTACCACTTCAATCAGGAAGTAAGCACTATGAAAAGACCACAGGTGAGCACCTTTTGTTTTACAACAACAATGGAAGACGTTGCAGAGAGAGGAAGAGAAAGAGGGAGGTGAGAATGAGAGGGGGAGGAAGAGTGAGAGGTAGGGGTAGAGCTGGTAGAGGAGTTCATGGCCAAAGAAGACAACAACTTGCAAATGAAATCAGAGCAACCTTAGTTGATCATGTCATCAACCATGGGCTGACAATGCGAGAGACTGGACAGAGAGTGCAGCCCAACTTGAGACGTTTTGCTGTCGCCTGTGTCATCCGGACATTTAGACTGGAGTACAGGTATGTAACCAAAATGTCTTTCACACTATGTAGTACACCCCATGTCATAGTGAATCAGTTGGGTGACACCTGTTTACTTCATGAATGGCTGATGTCATACACTAACTGCACAAGTTTCCTGTATAATTTACTCTACTGTGGGGGAAATATCTTTAGACTGCATTGTCCAAGCCCTATATTTTTGTTTTTTTGTTTTTCTAAAGGACTGAGAGACGCAACCATGGTGGAGGAAGGGGCCAAATGTTCACCGGGGTACAGGAAGCTGCCATTGTAAATTTGGTTTTGGAAAATAATGAAATCAGATTATGAGAAATTCAAAGCCACATCATCCAAGACAACACCATATTCAACGAGACAGTCTGTCCACATTGGCTCGCATTCTCAAGCGAAACCAAATCAGAATGAAACAACTTTATAAGGTGCCGTTTGAGAGAAACAAAGAGGTCAGACGAGAATATGTGGATGTAAGTACAATATTGACTGCAGTACACTACACGCAACATTGTTTCCCAGTGTACTGGATAACACCATATTGACTGCTTTTGTTCTTTGTTTTCAGGGAGTACTGGAAATGGATGCTCATGCAATCACACATGAGTTCATCTTTATAGATGAGGCTGGGTTCAACCTAGCAAAGACCAGAAGAAGGGGGAGAAACATCATTGGCCACAGAGCCAATATAGATGTTCCTGGCCAACGTGGTGGGAACATCACAATGTGCGCTGCCATTTCCAATACGCATGGTGTCCTCCACCGTCATGCCAACCTTGGACCATACAACACAGCCCATATTCTCACATTTCTGGACAGACTCCACAACATTCTCATACCACCAGAGCACATGAATGATGCAGACCATCAAAGAACCCGGTACGTTGTAGTATGGGACAACGTGAGCTTTCATCGTGCAGCCCCAGTCCAAAACTGGTTTGCTGACCACCCACCATTTCTCGTGCAATACCTCCCACCATACTCACCATTTCTGAACCCCATAGAAGAGTTATTTTCGGCATGGCGGTGGAAGGTATACGACCGGCAGCCCTTTGTGCGCATGCCTCTTGTGCAGGCTATGGAGGAGGCATGTGATGAGATTGATGTGGGTGCGATTCAGGGATGGATAAGGCACTCAAGGCACTTCTTCCCTCGATGTCTGGCAAGGGAAGATATTGCCTGTGATGTGGACGAGGCGTTGTGGCCAGACCCAGCTGTGCGGCAAGATGCTGCCTAATTATTTTTCTTGCCTCTTTTGGTTTCTATATTTTTTTTTCTGCAATTTTCTTTTTCAGTTTACTGTTTTTTGTGAGCATATTTTTGTTCAGTCCAATGTTAATATATCTGCTGTGCATATGTTGCACTGACTTGTTTGGTGAAAAATAAATAAATGTTTCAACAGCATTTCTGTGCATGTAAACAATCTGAAGAATTTTCTACAATTTGAACTATTTTAGTATTATGGCAAAGCATACTAAAGATGACAATGCTTTTCATTATGCCCAACAGTGTGTAGTTGGTTAGACAAACATCTGGTAATATGAATGAAGTGTGTGCCATTTCGTGCAAATGTTTGATTTTGATAATGCTGTATGTAGTTTTGGTTGCAGTGCTTCATTTTGCAGGATATATGAGGTATTTTGCAGTTTGGGTGTGTGGTTTTGTGAATTGTGTTAAGTATTTTGATAAAAAACCAGCCTAGTTTGCAAAATTGTGTTTTAGCAATTGGGGAAAACTGATCAGCTTCTTGATATGCTACCTCTGTCAGGTGGATGGATGATCTTGACAAAGGAGAAATGCTCACTAACAGGGATGTAAAGAAATGTGTGCAACAAAAATGAGAGAAATAAGCACTTTGTGCATATGGAACATTTCTGGTATCTTTTATTTCAGCTCATCAAACCAACACTTTACATGTTCAGTTTATATTTTTTTGTTCAGTATATTTAGGAAATCTTAGTTCCAGACGCCCTCCTGTGGCCATATAAACGCATTGCAGTATCTGCAAGAGTGGTCATAGGGAGGAGGGTGTTGATCCATCTGATTTCTTTAAGAGACGTCTTGAAACTGTGTATCAGGATTTTGTGGCCATTTACACAGATGTTTCAAAAGATCCAAGGACAGGACGTACTGGGTCAGCATTTGTAGTGCAGGAATGTGGGGTGGCAGTCAGGAAACGCATTACAGATCATCTGGCTGTATATACGGCGGAGCTGATGGCCATACTGTTGGCCTTGCAGTGGGTGGAGCTGATGGCCATACTGTTGGCCTTGCAGTGGGTGGAGCTGATGGCCATACTGTTGGCCTTGCAGTGGGTGGAGCTGATGGCCATACTGTTGGCCTTGCAGTGGGCGGAGCTGATGGCCATACTGTTGGCCTTGCAGTGGGTGGAGCTGATGGCCATACTGTTGGCCTTGCAGTGGGTGGAGCTGATGGCCATACTGTTGGTCTTGCAGTGGGTGGAGCTGATGGCCATACTGTTGGCCTTGCAGTGGGTGGAGCTGATGGCCATACTGTTGGCCTTGCAGTGTGTGGAGCTGATGGCCGTACTGTTGGCCTTGCAGTGGGTGGAGCTGATGGCCATACTGTTGGCCTTGCAGTGGGTGGAGCTGATGGCCATACTGTTGGCCTTGCAGTGGGTGGAGCTGGTGGCCATACTGTTGGCCTTGCAGTGGGCGGAGCTGGTGGCCATACTGTTGGCCTTGCAGTGGGCGGAGCTGATGGCCATACTGTTGGCCTTGCAGTGGGCGGAGCTGATGGCCATACTGTTGGCCTTGCAGTGGGCGGAGCTGATGGCCATACTGTTGGCCTTGCAGTGGGCGGAGCTGATGGCCATACTGTTGGCCTTGCAGTGGGTGGAGCTGATGGCCATACTGTTGGCCTTGCAGTGGGCGGAGCTGGTGGCCATACTGTTGGCCTTGCAGTGGGCGGAGCTGATGGCCATACTGTTGGCCTTGCAGTGGGTGGAGCTGATGGCCATACTGTTGGCCTTGCAGTGGGTGGAGCTGATGGCCATACTGTTGGCCTTGCAGTGGGTGGAGCTGATGGCCATACTGTTGGCCTTGCAGTGGGTGGAGCTGATGGCCATACTGTTGGCCTTGCAGTGGGTGGAGCTGATGGCCATACTGTTGGCCTTGCAGTGGGTGGAGCTGATGGCCATACTGTTGGCCTTGCAGTGGGTGGAGCTGATGGCCATACTGTTGGCCTTGCAGTGGGTGGAGCTGATGGCCATACTGTTGGCCTTGCAGTGGGCGGAGCTGATGGCCATACTGTTGGCCTTGCAGTGGGCGGAGCTGATGGCCATACTGTTGGCCTTGCAGTGGGCGGAGCTGATGGCCATACTGTTGGCCTTGCAGTGGGTGGAGCTGATGGCCATACTGTTGGCCTTGCAGTGGGTGGAGCTGATGGCCATACTGTTGGCCTTGCAGTGGGTGGAGCTGATGGCCATACTGTTGGCCTTGCAGTGGGTGGAGCTGATGGCCATACTGTTGGCCTTGCAGTGGGTGGAGCTGATGGCCATACTGTTGGCCTTGCAGTGGGTGGAGCTGATGGCCATACTGTTGGCCTTGCAGTGGGTGGAGCTGATGGCCATACTGTTGGCCTTGCAGTGGGTGGAGCTGATGGCCATACTGTTGGCCTTGCAGTGGGTGGAGCTGATGGCCATACTGTTGGCCTTGCAGTGGGCGGAGCTGATGGCCATACTGTTGGCCTTGCAGTGCGTGGAGGAAGTTAAGCCAGACAGAGTAGTTATTTGTTCTGATTCATGTGCAGTGTTAATGAGTCTCCAGTCCTTTAGCTCACGTAGCAGACAAGACCTGCTTTATGAGGTGCTACAAACCCATGGCAGGATTAAACAGATGGGTATTCAGATATGATTTACTTGGGTCCCAGCCCATGTGGGGGTGGAGGGGAATGAGGCAGTAGATGAACAGGCTAGACAAGCACTTAGTAGTGGGGATGTTGATGTTGAAGTTTCAATGAGCAAGGCAGAGGCAAAAATATTAATATATACAGTGATGGTGCAGAGATGGCAGGAGCAGTGGAATAGAGATACTAAGGGCAGGCATTTATTTCAAGTACAGAGGAAAGTCAGGGAGGGGAGGACGGCAGGAAGGGACAGAAGAGAGGAGGCTATTTTTACAAGATTAAGGGTGGGACACAGCCAGTTAAATACGACATTAAATGTGATAGGAAAGCATCCAACAAGTGTGATTATTGTCAGGAAACAGAGACCATGGAGCATGTATTGCGACAGTGTGGGCAGTATCAGCGGGAAAGAGAGAGGATGAGATCTAATATTAGGGAGAAGGGGATACAGGAAATTAGTTTAAAGAGTGTATTGAGTAGAACGTCATTAGATATAGTCTCAAATATTTTGTTATCTTTTTTTAAGAGCAACGGGGATGGCAGGTAGTATTTAGTTTCTCCCTGTCTCTGGCACACACTCCAGTACAGTAGGTGGCGGTAATGCACCATAACTTTGGATGCCAACCGCCGATAAACCCCACTGAAGAAGAAGAAGAATATGCAAGAGTGGTTGGGTTCAAAGTTCAGGGACACTGTGCATGCGTACAATGCGAAGAACATCATGGGTAACATCTGACGTTGGATCAACTACATACGTTGCTAAATTAATAAACTAGCTATATATATATATATATATATATGTTTTTTATCACAGACATGACACGTTAACTCTGCACTTTTCATTTTTGTACTGTTAGCGAGACATACTTAACTACATTTTTTTGCGTCACCTGAAAGAAAGAAATCATGACTGCCAACGAGGATCAAGAGGTAATATTATCTGGTGATGCTAACCAGCTCGCTAGCTAGCTAACAGAGCTATCTAGCTATAGTTAGAAGGCTGAACTGTTACTGAGAAACTCTGTTTTGTCGAAAACTGTTTCATGTACGAAGTATTAGCATTACCGTAGTCAGTGGATTCTTAGGCTAGTTTGTCTAGTTAGCTAACTGAAGAACTTGGCTAGTTTTAGCCACACCACCAGCTATCCAACGATAGCTCAGAGTAATGTGAGTCAGTGCACTGAATCTCCTTAGAGAGCTAACGTATTTATACTGAACAAAAATATAAACGCAACATGTAAAGTGTTGGTTTCATGAGCTGAAATAAAATGTCACAGAAATGTTCCATGCGCACAAAAAGCTTATTTCGCTCATGTTGTGCACAAATTTGTTTAACGTACATCCCTGTTAGTGCGCATTTCTCCTTTGCCAATATAATCTATCCACCTGACAGGTGTGGAATATCAAGAAGCTGATTTAAACAGCATGATAATTACACAAGGCTACTATAAAATGTGCGGTTTTGTCTCACAACACAATGCCACAGATGTCTCAAGTTTTTAGGGAGCATGCAATTGGCATGCTGACTGCAGGAAAGGCCACCAGAGCTGTTGCCAGATAATTGTATGTACATTTCTCTACCATAAGCTGCCTCTCACGTTGTTTTAGAGAATTTGGCAGTAAGTCCAACCGGCCTCGCAACCACAGACCACGTGTAACCACGCCAGCCCAGGACCTCCACATCCGGCTTCTTCACCTGCGGGATCATCTGAGACCAGCCACCCGGACAGCTGATGAAACTGTAGGTTTGCACAAACTGTCAGATACCGTCTCAGGGAAGCTCATCTGCGTGCTCGTCGTCCTCACCAGGGTCTTGACTTGACTACAGTTCGGCATCGTAACCGACTTCTGTGGGCAAATGCTCACCTTCGATGGCCTCTGGCACGCTGGAGAAGTGTTCTCTTCGGATGATTCCCGGTTTCAACTGTACCAGGCAGATGGCAGACAGCGTGCATGGCGTCGTGTGGGTGAGCAGTTTGCTGATGTCAACGTTGTGAACAGAGCGCCCCATGGTGCCGGTGGGTTTATGGTATGGGCAAGCATAAGCTACGGACAACGAACACTTGCATTTTATCAATGCCAATTTTATGCACAGATTCTGTGAAGAGATCCTGAGGCCCATTGTCGTGCCATTCATCAGCCGTCATCACCTCATGTTTCAGCATGATAATGCACAGTCCCAAGGATCTGTACACAATTCCTGGAAGATAAATGTCCCAGTTCTTCCATGGCCTGCATACTCAACAGACATGTCATCCATTGCGCATGTTTGGGATGCTCTGGATCGAAGTGTACTACAGCATGCTCCAGTTCCCGCCAATATCCAGGAACTTCGCACAGCCATTGAAGTGGAGTGGGACAACATTCCACAGGCCACAATCAACAGCCTGATCAATTCTATGAGAAGGAGATGTGTCGCGCTGCATGAAGCAAATGGTCACACCAGATACTGACTGGTTTTCTGATCCACGCCCCTACTTTTTTTGTGTGACCAACATATGCATATCTCAAATCAAAAGTTTTATTTGCCACATGTGCCGAATACAACAGGTCTAGACATTACAGTGAAATGCTTACTTACAGCCCTTAACCAACAATGCATTTATTTTTTAATAAAAAAGTTAAATAAAACAACAACAAAAAAGTGTTGAGAAAAAAAGAGCAGAAGTAAAATAACAGTAGGGAGGCTATATACAGGGGGGTACCGGTGCAGAGTCAATGTGCGGGGGCACCGGCTAGTTGAGGTAACATGTACATGTGGGTAGAGTTAAAGTGACTATGCATAAATAATTAACAGTAGCAGCAGCGTAAAAAGATGGGGTGGGGGGGCAGTCCAAATAGTCCGGGTAGCCATGATTAGCTGTTCAGGAGTCTTATTGCTTGGGGGTAGAAGCTGTTGAGAAGCCTTTTGGACCTAGACTTGGCGCTCTGGTACCGCGTGCCGTGCGGTAGCAGAGAGAACAGTCTATGACTAGGGTGGCTAGAGTCTTTGACAATTTTGAGGGCCTTCCTCTGACACCGCCTGGTATAGAGGTCCTGGATGGCAGGAAGCTTGGCCCCAGTGATGTACTGGGCCGTACGCACTACCCTCTGTAGTGTCTTGCGGTCGGAGGCCGAACAGTTGCCATACCAGGCGGTGATGCAACCAGTCAGGATGCTCTCTGTGGTGCAGCGGTATAACCTTTTGAGGATCTGAGGACCCATGCCAAATCTTTTCAGTCTCCTGAGGGGGAATAGGCTTTGTCGTGCCCTCTTCACGACTGTCTTGGTGTGTTTGGACCATGATAGTTTGTTGGTGATGTGGACACCAAGGAACTTGAAGCTCTCAACCTGCTCCACTACTGCCCCGTCGATGAGAATGGGGGCGTGCTCAGTCCTCTTTTTTTTCCTGTAGTCCACAATCATATCCTTTGTCTTGATCACGTTGAGGGAGTGGTTGTTATCCTGGCACCACACGGCCAGGTCTCTGACCTCCTCCCTATAGGCTGTCTCATCGTTGTCGGAGATCAGGCCTACCACTGTTGTGTCGTCTGCAAACTTAATGATGGTGTTGGAGTCGTTTCTGGCCATGCAGTAATGGGTGAACAGGGAGTACAGGAGGGGACTGAGCACGCACCCCTCAGGGGCCCCCGTGTTGAGTATCAGTGTGGCAGATGTGTTGTTACCTACCCTTACCACCTGGGGGCGGCCCGTCAGGAAGTCCAGGATCCAGTTGCAGAGGGAGGTGTTTAGTCCCAGGATCCTTAGCTTAGTGATGAGCTTTGAGGGCACTATGGTGTTGAACGCTGAGCTGTAGTCAATGAATAGCATTCTCACGTAGGTGTTCCTCTTGTCCAGGTGGGAAAGGGCAGTGTGGAGTGCAATAGAGATTGCATCATCTGTGGATCTGTTGGGGTGGTATGTAAATTGGAGTGGGTCTAGGGTTTCTGGGATAATGGTGTTGATGTGAGCCATGACCAGCCTTTCATAGCACTTCATGGCTACAGACGTCAGTGCTACGGGTCGGTAGTCATTTAGGCAGGTTGTCTTCGTGTCCTTGGGCACGGGGACTATGGTGGTCTGCTTGAAACATGTTGGTATTACAGACTCAGTCAGGGACAGATTGAAAATGTCAGTGAAGACACTTGCCAGTTGGTCAGCACATGCTCGGAGTACACGTCCTGGTAATCCGTCTGGCCCTGCGGCCTTGTGAATGTTGACCTGCTTAAAAGTCTTACTCACATCGGCTACAGAGAGCGTGATCACATAGTCATCTGGAACAGCTGGTGCGCTCATGCATGCTTCAGTGTTGCTTGCCTCGACGCGAGCATAGAAGTGGTTTAGCTTGTCTGGTAGGCTTGTGTCACTGGGCAGCTCGCGGCTGTGCTTCCCTTTTCTAGTCTGTAATAGTTTTCAAGCCCTGCCACATCCGACGAGCGTCGGAGCCGGTGTAGTACGATTCAATCTTAGTCTTGTATTGACTCTTTGCCTGTTTGATGGTTCGTCGGAGGGCATAGCGGGATTTCTTATAAGCGTCCGGGTTAGAGTCCCGCTCCTTGAAAGCGGCAGCTCTACCCTTTAGCTCAGTGCGGATGTTTCCTGTAATCCATGGCTTCTGGTTGGGATATGTACGTACGGTTACTGTGGGGACGACGTCATCGATGCACTTATTGATGAAGCCAGTGACTGATGTGGTGTACTCCAATGCTATCTGAAGAATCCCGGAACATGTTCCAGTCTGTGCTAGCAAAACAGTCCTGTAGTTTAGCATCTGCATCATCTGACCACTTTTTTATTAACCGAGTCACTGGTGCTTCCTGCTTTAGTTTTTGCTTATAAGCAGGAATCAGGAGGATAGAGTTATGGTCAGATTTGCCAAATGGAGGGTGAGGGAGAGCTTTGTACACGTCTCTGTGTGTGGAGTAAAGGTGGTCTAGAGTTTTTGCACATTTAACATGCTGGTAGAAATGAGGTAGAATGGATTTAAGTTTCCCTGCATTAAAGTCCCCGGCCACTAGGAGCGCTGCCTCTGGATGAGAGTGGTCCTCTGTAGCTCAGCTGGTAGAGCACGGCGCTTGTAACGCCAAGGTAGTGGGTTCGATCCCCGGGACCACCCATACACAAAAAAAATGTATGCACGCATGACTGTAAGTCGCTTTGGATAAAAGCGTCTGCTAAATGGCATATTATTATTATTTCCTGTTTATTCCCAGTCATGTGAAATCCATAGATTAGGGCCTAATGAATTTATTTCAATTGACGGATTTTCTTATATGAACTGTAACTCAGTCAAATCTTTAAAATTGTTGCATTTTATGTTTTTGTTCAGTGTATATTATCTAGCTACCTACCATCTTTGTATCCAACATCAACTAATAACCCCTCTCTCTTGTGCTCTGTCTTCTCTCTCCCTCACTTTGGTTCCAGATGGAGTTAGAAGCACTTCGCTCTATATATGAGGGGGATGAGCGCTTCAAGGAAGTCAGCCCAGTTTCATTTCAGTTTAGGGTGAGTAGCTGGTTGAATGGGATGTGCTGCATAATTTGCAGGGTGAGATTCTCAATTGGGAAAACGTCCATCCAAAGATACTCCATAACTAACCCAAGATGGTTCATCTGTGTCGTTTTACAGTGGGAGCAAATGAAGCTTAGGGGTCAGAACAAGCAAGAAGGTGGGGAAAAGGCATGCACAAGCTAGCGAGATCCTATTGGCGTGTTGTAGCATATATTTGCATATTTCCATTGGGGAACGCCTCCTCAGAATTAGGCATGTGCACAAACTCGATTCGACCTTGCACTCCTAAGCGCGACGCATAAAAAAATTATACTTTTGCAAACCCTCAAGTCTATAAAAGTTAGTGCACTGTGTTTGTAACAGATTCTAGTTTTGGGAACAGAAGAATGTGTTGAGATCAGATGTTTAATCGATGAGAATGGGCGGCAGGTAGCTTAGTGGTTAAGAGCGTTGTGCCAGTAACCGAAAGGTCGCTGGTTCTAATCCCAGAGCCGACTAGGTGAAAAATCTGTCTGTGCCCTTGAGCAAGGCACTTAACCCTAATTGCTCCTGTAAGTCGCTCTGGATAAGAGCGTCTGCTAAATGACTAAAATGTAAATTTGCAGAATGTCGGACCAGTTTCACATAGTTCCATCCTCTCCCACTACCCTCGACTGGACTTCCTCTCACTAGCATATTTGGTTGTGAGAAAACATTCTAAAAGGATGCTTCAGTTTTATAGCCCCAGTGACGTGTCTGGGTTACCCCTTCTGTCTGTCCCCTTCTGTCTGTGGTCCATCCTGTCCTCGACTCCTTCATCCTCTTCTCCGCGTTCCGGAAACAGTCAAGTGGTCGCCATATCTAGGCGATTGTCAAATATTGTTTCCAAATTTCCTCTCTTTGCCTCCTCTCCTCAATTAAAAAAAAAAGAGGCAAGTAGAGGTCGTAGTAGAGGAAGTCAGGAATAAAGGAAATCCATTGCCTTGTCTGTCTCCCACCTGATTCAGTTGGTTTACTAATCCGCTGGGTCAGGAAGAGGTTTTGGGGAACGCTGTCGACGTGAATGAGCATGGTCCAACGTCCCTAACCCCGTTCCCTTTCCAGATAGGAGAACACGATGACTCCAAAGCGTTCATTCTGGATATCTCATGGCCTGAGATGTATCCAGAAACCGCACCTGACATTTCTCTAGATGGCTTTTTCAACAAAAAAATGTAAGCAACCATTGATGCTGTTACCATCCTTGTTATTGTGGTTAAGTCATATTTATGTTGCCACCATGTCATATCCCTACGTTTTGGGTGATGATCCACCCAATGCAATACTGTGAACCTGAAAAGATACAAATTAACTTCATAATAGCATGTATAAAGTTATCTAACTCATTCCTGAGGTAATTACATCGAGTTGCTGCTGTCCTCTGTGGCTTTTTTTGGCACTTGCAATGCCAGGATAGTGTACAGTCAGCAAGCAGTTTAGAAGTTACACCGGCAGGCCCCGGTGGCAATAAATTCATAGAAACCAAAAGCTTACCTTGACTTGGAAGAGTTCCAGTGTTGGATAGCCAGCTAGCTAACATAGCATCCCTCTCTGTTTGATCCTGGTGTTTGGTGATTGCAGTGCTAGCTAGCTAGCTGTAGCTTATTTTTTCAGTACTAGATTCAATACTAGATTTTTGGCACTTGCAATGCCAGGATAGATTCCCATACGGAAAATGTATGCACACATGACTGACTGTAAGTCGCTTTGGATAAAAGCATCAGCTAAATGGCGTATATTCTAAATGATTCTCTATCAGATCTCCAGAGACCAAGCAGCTGATCATCTCTGGGTTGGAGGAGCAGGTGGAGGCCAACCTGGGCACTGCCATGATGTACACCTTGTTCGAGTGGGCCAAAGACAACCAGGAGACTCTGATGGAGAACCACCAAGCTGTGGTCACCACCGTGGTCAGTGAGCTACACACAACCATAGAAACAGAATCACTCGGAAGGGGCATCCCCCATAGAAACAGAATCACTTGGAAGGGGCATCCTCCATAGAAACAGAATCACTTGGAAGGGGCATCCCCCATAGAAACAGAATCACTCGGAAGGGGCATCCCCCATAGAAACAGAATCACTCGGAAGGGGCATCCCCCATAGAAACAGAATCACTTGGAAGGGGCATCCCCCATAGAAACAGAATCACTTGGAAGGGGCATCCCCCATAGAAACAGAATCACTCGGAAGGGGCATCCCCCATAGAAACAGAATCACTTGGAAGGGGCATCCCCCATAGAAACAGAATCACTTGGAAGGGGCATCCTCCATAGAAACAGAATCACTTGGAAGGGGCATCCCCCATAGAAACAGAATCACTTGGAAGGGGCATCCCCCATAGAAACAGAATCACTTGGAAGGGGCATCCTCCATAGAAACAGAATCACTTGGAAGGGGCATCCCCCATAGAAACAGAATCACTCGGAAGGGGCACCCCCCCCCCCCACGTTGTGCTCGTTAACCCGTTGTGTTGTGACCTGTTTTCCAGACGTTGATGTCCAACAGTGACCTCAACGCCCCAGCCAGGAAAAAAGAAAAAAAAGAACAGCTGACCAAATCACAGAAGAGGAAGATCACCTGTAGAACCGGTAAGGACCGAAACCACACCAATTACATTTAGTCAAGGCTATTGGCATTATTTAAACGGTTCTATCTCTGTTTCGACTAACAGATAACAAAGGGGAGCTCCCCAGAGGCTGGGACTGGGTCGATGTCATCAAGGTATATTTGTTCAGTTAGTTCACGGCAGTTGATTTTGTGCCGAACACCTTTTTGTCCTGTGTCTGTTTTTGAAGATGGCACCCTTGACCACATCAATTGCTGCCAAAAACACCATTGTTAATCATTTTTTATTCTCTCCTTTCTTGCATCTTCAACTTGTTGAACATGACACTCCAGCATGTAAGTACAATCAAGATTTACATTTACGTCATTTAGCAGACGCTCTTATCCAGAGCGACTTACAAATTGGTGCATTCACCTTATAGCCAGTGGGATAACCACTTTACAATATGTAATTTTTTTGGGGGGGGGTGGGGCAGGGGGTGGGGTAGAAGGATTACTTTATCCTATCCCAGGTATTCCTTAAAGAGGTGGGGTTTCAAGTGTCTCAGGAAGGTGGTGAGTGACTCCGCTGTCCTGGCGTCGTGAGGGAGCATGTTCCACCATCTATATATATTTCCCCAAATACTTTTTAAAAAACACGCCCCTTCTGAATTCAGTGTATATGCATCTGAGCTTACCGTGGTTTCTTAATGCTTTTGTCGATGTTGTCGTTTTCAGTTGAGCAGAACAGGCGGCAAAGAGGAAGACTAGGCTGTGGAGGAGGTGGACAGGTCTCTGGTGCGGCTTTTACTAGGAAGTGAAGTCTCCCGACCTCACTCAGACCACCTGACTCCTTCCAGTCTGCCCCAAGACGCCACACTCAAGATGGCCGCTTTTTCGCTCCAAGGAAGACGGGACCGGGGGGGGGGGGGGGGGTCCTCTACACCTGAACACAATCAATAGCTGCCAAAGCTGTTATTTTTGAGTGTGTCACACATACAGGTGGTTTAATGTTATTTCGGAAGGAGGTTAAAATGTGGCCGTTTTTTTTATGACCTGTGTTTTCATTTGCTTGGAAGAGACCCCAAATGTGTGTGACTTATTTTGGTTTTAACTGTGGTGATGACAGTGAATTGCAGTGTGAGCTGCATCGCAGCATTGAAACAATGAAGGCTTGTTGTTGTTGTTGTGGGGGGGGGGGGGGGGGGGGGGGTGGTGTGCTAGTATTTGTGCTGTCGAAATAGGCCAAAGTGAATTAGTGGTGAAGGGTTTGCAGTGTCATCCATTTTCACTAGGACTGTGTGCCTGTCAAGGTGGAATGATTGAGACCTCTTGTTACCATGAGCCAGACACGCGTGTACTGTCATCACCGCCAGGGAATTGAAAATATGTCCACTTTGAGACCATAGTTCAGTTGCTAGGCATCAGAGCTGTAAAACATGCATTACCAGTGGGTGTCAACATATGGCTTTATGATCCTCAATGTATACTGACATACAGCAGTGTGGAACATTATTAACTCAACATGTTACGAGGAACACACCAACTGAATTGATGTGATATTGTGCCCCATTAATTTAGAGACCTGCTCTCCCCATGAACTGAGAAACATTAGTTTTTTTAAATAAAAAATTATTGTTACAATATTGATCTTACATTTCTTTTAACATAGAAACGGCTTGATGTGAATACCAAATACTTTATCCCCTACCACCAGTCCTGTGGGTAGGATATTTGGTTCCCATGGCGATGTATCTAGAGGTAGAAAACATACTAATGAATAGGAGGCCCGCCTGAAGATTATTTTCTACGTCATTAAAGCCATGACCGAAGTTAAACTTTACTTAGAACACCCTGACGCATTCTTCAACCGAGGTAACTAAAGAACTGTTACACCTATCCCATAATACTCACCGGGTCAGTGTTTCCTCTCGTTGGCCTAGTCCTATTAGTGGAACATGAACCATCACTCAACTCCGCCCTGGACAACACTAGTTGCCAAAGGAGTGATCACTTCTGCAAACACATTGGGGGGTAGGTGACACTGACAGCGTTGAGTCGTGGTGGTGGATGGCGAGCCATTGAAGCTTCAAGCGGGATAATAAATTAACGTGCGACAGCCTATGAAGACCGGTGACTCTATCCTAACAACAAGAACAAATGTGGACTTATAAAAACGGGACTGTCCCCAAAAAGAAGACCAAGAAAGTAAGTCCAACTGTTTTGTTATTGCTTTGTGTGCTAATTTGCAATTATTGTAAAAAATGTGAACTAATTTTTTTAAACATTTTCTAACTTTTTATATTAAATGAACATGACTTACAATAACTGATCATAAATAATGTATAGCTCTCAATTAAGAGCTTCCTGCAAATGTTAGGCTACTATTTTCCATTTCATTCATAGGAGAAAGAAGTTGTAATATTTCCACCTATTTCCAATGGCTCTACCTCACTGCCTCGGGTGAGTTTAAGTGCCAGGTAGTCTCATAATATTCAGTCCACCGTTAGATGTTCTATAGCCTAGGTGGGTGTCTGCTCTCTCTTTTATCACCCAATTGAAGGTTAAATTGTTCTACAGAAGTAATTTACATTGATTTATAACCTTAATTAGTATCAATTCACCCAGTGTTCCTTTCTCATTGTAAATGCATCATTCCATCAGGACAGCAAAAACAAGAGAGCGACCATTCCCACGTCCCAAAGACTCCAGGAGATGTTCTTTTCCCACTGTCGAACCGACCATGGCATTCTAGTGAAAAAGATTAGGTTCAATAAGGTAAGGTAATCGATCCAGTTTGAATAACACATTTATACAATGGGTGGGTCTAATCCTGAATGCTGATTGGTTAAAACTGCATTCCAGCCGGTGTCTATTCCACAAATGACCACCGGCTAAATCTATGACGTTAATATGCCTATTTACTCTGTTCCATCTGACTGCCCAATCCACCGTCTCATCAGCCCAGCCAGGCAATTTATAAACTTGATCTCCACTATAAAAAGCATCTAGACATTATCTCACATTTCTTTTAGACTAACATTTCGTTTTCAACAGCGGAGATTTGTATAAACCTTGCTGTCTGTCTCTCCGACATTTTGCAACATTGTTTCAATATTCAAATTCGATCTCCAGGCTGTCCCATATATAATGAACGTGTCGGGAGTCGGGAGGAGACAGACAGGCAGGCAGGCAGCGTTTCTCAGCCAGTCGAAATGTATAGTCCATGTGTTGCTTACTGTATTGTAGAGAGCAGACAGCCTTTGGAGTATTCCTTTGACCAAAGTGAGTGAGGAGGCAGAGTCACAGATAACAGCTCACCTCAGAGTAAGTGTTCTGCACACTTCTGTACTGCTCTATCTTTCACTACACGATTCATTATTCATGTTGCATGTTATTGTATGTTGTAAATCCACATATCCTTCTCAGTATCATTTTCTGCAGCGCCATGTGAAGTCTTCTGGACAAAGCACACCGTCAGAGGAGAAAGGGGTGGATGTGCTGCATCTGCTGAAAACGCAGGGGTATTTATTCAGGGTGAGGAGGACCAAGCAACTCTTCGCTTATTCATCCTTCCTGATCTGATCATGGAAAAACAACTGATCCCATTCTTCATTTATTTTGGGGTGTTTTTTTTAGGACAAAGCAGCTTTCAAAGCCTTACTAGATGGAGGACTCGATGGCACTAAGGACGCTCCTCAAAACCTGCTGCAGAGTTTGGTGGCACTGGAAGAGGAAGAAGAGGAGGAGGAGGAGGAGGAGGAGGAAGACCGTGTTTGTGCAAACCAGGATGTCACCTCATGGACTGAAAGTGTTTCCGAAATGGTCAAGTGTCTATCGGATGGATCTTCTAATGGTGTTGTCAAGAGGAAGGAGGACAACACCTGCAGTGCAACAGGAGGAGAACCTCATTCATTAGGTCTCACAGTCGTAACAGATGACCTGGAAGGTGCCAAGAAGAGGAGATTCATGGTCTACATATGTGGTGGATACAAAGGTAAGCGTGGGTGCGTGAGCGTGGGTGCGTGGGTGCGTGAGCGTGGGTGCATGCGTGCTTGTCTCTGTATGTGTTATCAACCACAATCCCATCCCCACACAGACACGGTGGCAGAGAGGAGTGTGTTGATGGAGAGTGTGTTCCCTCGCATGTACCTCTACTGCAAACAGAGGGGCTATGACTTCAGGATGGTGGACCTGCGCTGGGGCGTGGGAGACCCCGTGTCAGATAGACATGACACGGCAGAGCTGCATGTGGAGGCCCTCACACAGTGTCAGAAAACACTGGGGCCAAACTTCATAGTGAGATATCTCTAGTGTATTTTTTTTTTTAAATTCGTAAACAATGCTCATGAGTCAAATTCTTTCTCTCTTCCTTTACCTTTCTTTCGCTGATCTCTTATCTAACATATCTTCCCACAAGTTACGACCCTTCTGCCAGTCACTAGCTAAACTCCTGGATTCATGAAGTTATTAATTGTGTTTTTTTTATTTGAAAGTTATTCCTTGGCCAGAAGCATGAGGTCCAGACCCTGCCCAGCACTATCTCCAGAGAGGTCTTTGAGGCCATCGTGAGCGTGGTGGAGAGAGACAGACAGAAGATGTCCAAGAGAAAACACCCCGAGATGGACGACATCATCAGCGACTCCCAGTCTAATATCGCCACGGGAAGTGACACGGGCAGCTTTGTTCCAGAACACAACGACGATCATGATTCAGGAGATCCAGCTCAGAATTCCGGGTTAATGAGCGATGAGAGTTCTGTATCCCATAATTCCCTCTCTGATGCAGATGAGACATGGGTAAGTCCTGCGGGGACGAGGTGTTGGGCAGACTTCGACCGGGATCTGATCCTACTCCAGACGTGGTACAGACTGGATGAGAACTGTGTTCCTGCTGTGTACCGCCTACTGCCTGTGAGGTAAGATGTAAAGTTACACTGTTGCTCGTATTGCTATAACTGAGTTCAAAGTTCACAAGTTTGGCCACGACACATTGATGTCAACTTTTATTTGTATTTTTTTTTTTTAAGCAATTTGTTTGCGTAGTATGCTACTTGTTTGTTTTAGGGATTGTTGAAATGACCAACGCAAGGACCACTAGTATAGTTTCTTATTTTGAAGCTTGTGTAACTTGCTAAACTAGTTAGCAACAACCGTTGGCAGTTCAAACCCAACTGGCGTATGAAATGCTTTGTTTGGTTTCCATGGCTCTTGCCCCTAGACCATGTATTGTTATGAAAATGGTTGTTTAAAATGAGCCAGACAAGGAAATGGAGCTCTCACAGTACAACAACCCTCCCTCTCAGCTTTTTGTTTTTCTTCTATTCCATTCACAAGTGTCTTAAATCACTTCACCATATTGGATTGTCAATCATCTTGAAATCACCTAGTTCCTGTATGTGTTGGTAGCACCCAACAGCCTGACTTCCTGAGCAGAGATGGCGAGCGCAGGAGGCAGGCGAGGAAGGCTTGGCACGCAACTTGCTTGCTCCTGTGGGGAGTGCTACAGAGGAGTGGGACAGAGGCACTGGGGGGGGAGGTGGCATCTCACCTCCTCAGGACAGGTTTGTATGGGGGAGTAGTTATTATTGTCATTAATTATTGTCCTTTCACCTTAGCGGTGGATCAGGTTATTTCCCCTCTTACGGTAGTGGACAGGAAGTAGTGTACATTGCGTTAAGCCATGTTGGTTTGCTCCCCACCCAGTGCTAGACTGTGAGGTAGAGCAGGGCCTCCGGTCGCTAGGAACCGAGGCCCCTCCAGAGGAACACTGCCACTGCTATAAGAGGGTCATCCCTGACCTCCACCACAGCCTGAGGAACGAACACGCTGCCCACTACATCGACCTGCTGAAAGGTCGACCGCAGGTCAACCGCACCCTGAATGCAGCACACCAGAGCTTCGTGGAACGCATTCACAAAAAGGTAAGGGTGCGTGTGCGTGCGCGTGTGTGTGTGTGTGTGTGTGTGTGTGTTTGTGTGCATGTGTGGATGGGTTTGCATGTGTTGGGGGTGGGAAGAGTGTGTGTGTGTATATGTGTGTGTATATGTGTGTGTGTGTGTGTGTGTGCATGTGTGGATGGGTTTGCATGTGTTGGGGGTGGGAAGAGTGTGTGTGTGTGTGTGTGTGTGTGTGTGTGTGTGTGTGTGTGTGTGTGTGTGTGTGTGTGTGTGTGTGTGTGTGTGGGAGCAAAAAGGAGAGAGAATGATACAAAGACAAAATGAAAGCTTTCACAGAGTAACACTGCTCACCGATATCTACATTACAGTGGCGGTCGGTGCCGTTTAAGATGAAGGAGGACGATAATTGTTTTTATGAGCATGGCCTTATTTCTATTACAGCGTATTGGATGACTTGTCCTTCATATTCCATTCACCCAGGTCAGTGTAACATCGATAGGTTTAGGCTACTACATGATACTTTAATTTTCCCTATACCCATCAGGAGGTTGCTACAACCTAGCCTATGAATGAAAGTTTACAACATAGGTGCACAGCACAGGTCGAGGGAAACATTTGAGTAATCAAGGAGACGGACAGTGACACATTTAATACCGCCTTGCACACTCTTGCCTGCATCTTAGCTGATCTAGGGTGTAATCATTAGTCCAACAGTTGCAAACGAGAGCTTCTATTGGACAAATTCAGGTACTGTATGTTTATCCCCGCTTCATTCCGTTTGCTTCCGTTTAAGAAACGTTTTTCAACAGAATCGGCGGAATGAATACACCCCTGATCACACGCAAACACACTTCACTTTCATAGCAGCCACATATAAACAGCATGATCCCTTTGATCGTTGTATTCCTCCTCTCACCTCAATAATTTGTTAAAAACTGTTCAACTATTGTCTTTCTCTCACTTTGAGTCAACTGCTCACCACATTCTATGGACTGCAGTGCTAGCTAGCTGTAGCTTATGCTTTCAGTACTAGATTCATTCTCTGATCCTTTGATTGGGTGGACAGCATGTCAGTTCATGCTGCAAGAGCTCTGATAGGTTGGAGGACGTCCTCCTGAAGTTGTCATAATTACTCTGTATGTCCATGGAAGGGAGTGAGAACCATGAGCCTCCTAGGTTTTGTATTGAAGTCAATGTACACAGAGGAGGACGGAAACTATCTGTCTTCCAGCTACACCATGGTGCTACCCTACAGAGTGCTGTTGAGGCTACTGTAGACCTTTATAGCAAAGCAGTGTGTTTTAATCAATTATTTGGTGATGTGAATATATTTAGTATAGTTTCATCTAAAAAGGATAACTTTAAAAATATTTCACAATTATTTTTTTATTTTTATTTTTTCATTCACTGAGGAGGATGGTCCTCCCCTTCCTCCTCTGAGGAGCCTCCATTGTCTTTCTTCCCTCATTAAGTTGCGCCACACCAACATCTATGAGCGTAACGTGGACTGGGGAATTAAGGGCCTGAACCCCAAACACAACCGATCCCATCAGTTCTACACAGAACACATCTCCTCCCACTTCCAGAGGACTGTCATCAACTCTCTGAACAAGTGAGAGAGACAAAAATAAATGTATAACACGTGTAATAAAGTATATTGAAACTATAATACATGTTTATCACACGATTACCATGTATATCTGTCATTATGTTGGCCCTCAAATATTATTGCATAACAGTTAACTGATGGCATAAATGTTGAGTTGAGCTGTGTATTTCTCCTACTCCAGAGTTATGAAGGGGAACAAAGCCAAAGGCTCCTTTGACATCAGAAGGAGAGAAGCATCTAGAATGAGGATACAGGAGGAGATCCGTCGCCATGTTAACCACGGACACACTCTGTAAGTCTCTGGTTTGGCTTTCTTTCCTTTAGAATGGCCACCTGCATGCTTCTAAGTAGCCTGGTTTCAGATACTGTGCTCATTGTGTCACGCCAAATATTGAACCATAGGAGCTGGCAAGACAGCACAGACAGATCTCGAACCAGGCTAGCTTCAAAGTGGGTTTGATATCATCGTGACTAGTCTCTCTCCAGGGAAAATAACCATGTGTTGAGAGAAGGCTTCCTGGGTGAGATGAGGAGGGCTGTGGAGGAGGGGTCTTCTCCCAGGCCTATCCTCCTACTGGGTCCCCCTGGCTGGGGCAAGAGCACCACCATGGCCACAGTGGCACACCTCGCCCCCTCCTGGATTACTGGGTGAGGGGTGGCTCCATGACATCAATGGGAAATGTTTGTGAAAATGTTAAGGTATTGTGCACTTATTTCAGTTTAGGAATACGATATGATCCTAAGTCAAGAATTGAAGTGCTTTCTGGAATCCGTACTGCTTGGTGATAAGAAAACCAAACTATTCCTGTGACCGAGTGTATATGAAGGACTCTGTAGTTCTCACAAACTGGACTTGCCTGTTCTCCCTCTCAGAGCTGTGAAGGTGCTGGTGTGTTTCGTGGGCCTGACGGGGGAGAGCAGGAATGTGCGTCTGGTTCTCCAGAACTTGTGTGTTCAGCTGGCTGAGACCTACAGCCACCACACTGAACTCTCTGAGGTAGCTACCTCTGACAAACGTTATCTATCATCTTATTCCAACCAATGCAATTCCCATATAGAAGAGCAAGAATGCTGTCTTGATAGAATAGATAACATGGTCAAATACTTATATTGGTCAGCTGTAAAGTGATACTTCACCCCAAAACCACATTTGGTCATTTTATACCACAAAAGTTAAGTCCATAGACCAAAAAAATAGGTACAAACATGAAAACGCATTGTAACACGTTAAATGCAAAACGTTAAATGACCAATATCATTCTGTGTCCATTCGTCGCAGGGTCTCCCTCAGCTGGTGAATGAGTTCCACTCCCTGCTGGGTCAGTTGAGGGCGGACAGCCCCGTAATCCTTGTGCTGGACGGGTTAGATGATCTTTCTGAGGAGCATGGAGCAGACCTCTCCTGGCTGTCTACACCTCTCCCTCCACACGTCCACCTCGTCCTGTCGGCCACCACAGACTCTGCCTGCGCCCACACCCTGCAGGTCAGGACAGGTTGACGAAAGATACTGCACGACAGTGTTTATCCTACCATTACTTAGGCTGCCCGCCTTACCGCTGTCACGTTGAAATCTGGAGGAACACTGCTGTGCAGGTGTGCAGTTACTGTAGCAACGGTCGTCAAAGTTGTTAAAAGTTTTCAAATACAATTCTGATAAATGCAACAGTCGGACAATGGATGAAGATTCTCCAAATATTTAGAATGGTTTAAATCCATAATTTATTGCACATAAAACATTGTATTGGCATGGACAAATAATTAAGTTCGGGGCATTTTGGTGGGAATTCGGATATTCAATTGATTGTAAAATTTCACCTTTCTTTTCTTATGAAGCACTCATATATACTATTTTTTTTATATCAGGTATTTTTTAAATACTTTGTGATAAAATAAAGAAGATGATATGTGCCTCATCTACACTGGGTGTATTTGCATACATTAATAAATTAACATAAAGGTGTGGAACAGGGCTGCAACCACCAAAAACGTAATCCTACCTGTAATCATAAACTGCGCTGTCTAGACTGTCTCATTAATTATTCATGACTGTAGTTGTCACGTTCTCATGCATAATTCAACAAGTGTGTTAAGAGGAGGATACCCACGCGATTTAAAGTAAAAAAAAAAACGCTTCACTCTAGATTATACCTACAGTATATGTACAAACTTTACATTGTTTGTGAGATCAGACATAATAGCACTATAATCCGAGTGTTCTCTTGCGAAAATTGCTTTCATTTCAGCGCATCTAATTTGTGAACATTTCAATCTGTATTAAATGCAAACTTTTTTTTTAATTGCACAAAAAAAATCAACACCCACCTAAATAAAGTTCTCTTTCTTCTCTTTCTTGTGATGTAAGTATTGAGACGTTAAATCTCCGTTCTTATAGATGTGACGGAAACCATTGTATTCCGTTGAGTCCATTTCGGCTGTAACCGGAGTGTGTTTGACCGGTCATTACAAACGTTTCCCACGGTCATTACGTTAGAAAACGAATGGCACAAGGGAAGAGTCGCCAGAGTAAAATGAAAGCAATCAATCCAGCGAGATTTAAGTGACAAGTGGATTTTTGCACCCTTCAAACACAGGAAATAGATGGCTGAAAAAGGAGAGATCCTCAGGTGGGTGGGGCCTGCGTGTTGCTAAGTTACTGCATGTGAGACATCCTGACATGTACGTGTTCTATCTAAAACCCTCTGTCATCACGCTAGTATCAAAGTGATCATGAAATTCTCAGTTTGATCCTTCCCCATCCAGAAGTCAGCCCAGCCCACTGTCCTGTCCCTGCCACCCCTCAGTCCTGATGACATCACTAAGGCTCTAGAACATAAACTCCAGGCTGACCAGCGCAGGCTCCAGGACTGGCAGTGGCAGCTTCTCCTCCAGGCCTGCCTTTCCTGCCCCTCCCCTGTCTACCTGGAGGCTGTCTATGCTGAGTCCGTCCTCTGGACCTCCTTCTCCCCCCAGGGCAGCCTGGGCCTCCCGCCCGACCTGGGGGGGCTCTACGTAGGCCTGCTGGCTTGCCTGGAGAGGGCCCACGGGGAGCAGCTGGTGGCACGGGCCGCCGCGGTTATTTCGCTCTCCAGAGGGGGCGTCACGGAAGAGGTGGGTGAAACAAATTTGGTAGTGAAGGAGAATGTGTAAAGAGCTGTGATCACATGGAATACTAACCAAAATTGAGAGTCAGACCAATCACACAGCTGTGTCTTGTATTGTACCTAATGTACTGACCAATCACACAGCTGTGTCTTGTATTGTACCTAATGTACTGACCAATCACACAGCTGGACATTGTGTCTTGTATTGTACCTAATTGTCACGGTTTCGGCCGAGGCTGCCTCTCCTCCTTGTTCGGGCAGGCTTCGGCGCTCGTCGTCTCCGGAATTCTAGCTGCCACCGATAGATGTTTCATGTTCGTTTGCTTTTGTCTGTTTGTGTCACACCTGTTTCTGTTTTACGTAATTAGTGTCCTATAAGTTTCTCGTTGTGTTTGTCATGTGTTGTGTATGATTGTTTTTCGTCAGTGTTGTGTTTTGCTCGGTTGAGCATATTTTCTCCACTGCGCTGGAGCACAGTTGCACTTGTTCGTGCACCACTTCGTTTGTCGCACCTGTTTGTGCGCATTTGCCTTTTCGCCTTGTGCGTAGTTTAGCTGTTGGGCTTAGTTGTCCTGTTGCCTGTGTTGGGCCAGAAATACAGCATTTGGAACCTACCGTCGGCGTCCTGCATTTGATTTCCTACACTACACCTACACACGCCCTGACACTAATGTACTGGGATTTTAATTTCAAATCGGAAGGTATCTTGGGAAAAATAAAGCTATTCTACAAATATTATTATTATTATTATTATTATTATTATTATTATTATTATTCTGATCATTAGGAGCTACTGGACCTGATGGGGAGAGATGGGAAGGTTCTACAAGAAATATCGCTCTCCCATTCATCCTGCACTTCCTCCTCCAGCCTTCCCAGGGTGCCGTGCGTGCTGTGGGCACGGCTGAGACGGGACCTTGGGGGTCACCTGACGGAGGCGGAGACAGACGGGACGTGGGTCTACCGCTGGACCCACTCCGAGCTGGGGAGGGTGTGTGTGAAACGGTACCTCAAAACGGACGATTCCCGTAAGCTTCTACACGCAACCTACGCAGACTACTTCCGGGGTACGGACAGCCAACACAGAAACATATTTCAGCCCCTGGCGTGGACGCTGGAGGAGGACTCGACGAAGAGTTATGTGTTTAACCTCAGAAAGCTCCATGGCCTGCCTTACCACCTGGTTCGCTCAGGCCAGATACTGCCCTTCCTGTCTGAGTGTGTGTTTAACTATGAGTTCCTGCTGCACAAGGCCTGGGGTCTGTCTGTGCTCCATATACAAGAGGACCTGAAGGGCGCCGTGCTGCCAGAGAAGTGGGTTCTCTTAGACGCTTCTTTTGAGTTGCTATTTGATACTGTATGTTTGAGATAAGTGATGTGTGTCCTCTCTCTCTTTGTTCCTATCTACTCCCCTCGCTGTCGTCGTCCCCCTCAGGGAGTTGGTAGATATGGAGGTGTTGGCAGCTACTCTGGAGCTTTCCAGGCCCGTGCTGCTCCGGGACCCCTGCCAGCTGGCCTCCCAGGTTATGGGCCGTCTGGGACAGATAGTTGCTGAAGACCTCCCCGTGGCTCCAGGTATACCTCACCTCCCTGACACTGATGGATAAAGTGACTCAACGTCTCAAATGGATGAGTTTGAAGTACCGCCAACACAATTTAAAAAAAGCTTCGAAACGAGTTTCCAACTGTATAGGGCGGCAGGTAGCTTAGTGGTTAAGAGCGTTGTGCCAGTAACCGAAAGGTCACTGGTTCTAATCCCCGAGCCGACGAGGTGAAAAATCTGTTCGATGTGCCCTTGAGCAAGGCACTTAACCCTAATTGCTCCTGTAAGTGGCTCTGGATAAGAGCGTCTGCTAAAATGACGTAAATGTAAATGTAAGTGTATGGCCTGCTCTCTGTCAGTGTGATGATGTGTTCTTACCAGGTGACCCACAGAAGTTTAGCTACCTGCATGACCTGCTGGCCCAGTGTGCCCGTTCCACTCTGCCAGTCCTGGTGCCCTCCTACAGCTGTCTCGTGCCCCCAGGAGGGATCCCACATACCCTGCTGGCAGGTAAAGAGCTATCACAAACATAAAGACATGGTTGTTATGTCATCCAATGCAATGCTATGTAAATGCTCATGTTGAATGCCTTTTTCCCCCTGTCTCTGCTCCAGGCCACGCGTCTATAGTAACAGCCCTGACCAGGGGACAGAGGGGTCTGGTGGCAGCCACCTGCGGTGGGGACGGCACCCTGAAGGTGTGGGACCTGGAGCTGGGGCGCGCCGTGAGGACTCTGGAGGGGGCGGGGGGCGTGGTAGGCGACTCCCTCACCCTCTGTCTGGAGGACAGGGTCCTGGTGGTCCGCATGGGACAAAGTCTGCAGGTCAGAGAGGTGGATTCTGGGAAAGTGATCTACTGCGAGAGTGACTCTCTGGATGTTCCCGTGGTAACCACCGCCTGTGACGGACAGCTGCTGGTGGCCTTCTATGATGGAAGTCACCTGGTGAAGGTATTGCGGTAGTCCAATGTATTATCACATCAGCATAAACAACATGACGCTGATGTTTTACGTTCAGGTGACCTTGACATTGAATCTTTGTGACCATGGTGATGGTTTGACCTCTCTGTGACACCTCAGGTGTTCGACCTGGCCTCGTCGTGCTGTCTACTGTGCTGTGTCAACATCACCCTGGACTGTGACCCCATCCATAAAGACCATTCCATACTGGTCTCCCACAACTCCATCAAAGACTATGTCCTTTTCGCCTACAGGTCAGACTTCAGTCCTTGATTCGGATCCCTGTAACAACGGGTAGTCTATAACAACGGGTAGTCTATAACAACGGGTAGTCTATATCAACGGGTAGTCTATAACAACGGGTAGTCTATAACCACGGGTAGTCTATAACAACAGGTAGTCGATAACAACAGGTAGTCTATAACAACAGGTAGTCTATAACAACGGGTAGTCTATAACAACGGGTAGTCGATAACAACGGGTAGTCTATAACCACGGGTAGTCTATAACAACGGGTAGTCTATAACAACGGGTAGTCTATAACAACAGGTAGTCTATAACAACGGGTAGTCTATAACCACGGGTAGTCTATAACAACAGGTAGTCGATAACAACAGGTAGTCTATAACAACAGGTAGTCTATAACAACGGGTAGTCTATAACAACAGCAAGTCTATAACAACCGGTAGTCTATAACAACAGGTAGTCTATAACAACGGGTAGTCTATAACAACAGCAAGTCTATAACAACAGGTAGTCTATAACAACGTGTAGTCTATAACAACGGGTAGTCTATAACAACAGGTAGTCTAAAACAACGGGTAGTCTATAACAACGGGTAGTCTATAACAACGGGTAGTCTATAACAACGGGTAGTCTATAACAACAGGTAGTCTATAACAACAGGTAGTCTTCCACTGGTACACACAAAAAACTAAACACTAAACCAACCAACCCACAGGCAGATTCAAGGACATTGAGACTCAGTGTTTTACACGCTACCTTGAATATTGAAAAAAAATGTAACCCGACCTTGATTCCATGGTGGATAGAGTAAACAATATATTGTTTTTCTCACATTATTCATGATATTTTCTTTGCTTTGGTTCTTTCTTATTCGTTTTTGGTTATTTCGCATTGGGGGCTAATGGTGATTGTTTCTTAGTACCGTAGAGTAATAATAAATTAGTGACAGGTGTCACTTCTCCTGGTCCTTAAATAATATCACATGCCCTCGTTGTTAACACGCTGTGAAATCAGGCGGACGTAGCGCCTTGACAGATTTCACGGGTGCGGTTTTGGAAACACTGTTGAATTATTCAAACGGACTACTTCTCAGGTGCCTATTAAAACGTAACCCTGGAAACCTTCACACACACACAAGCCCCTGTCAGATAGACAGATAACGTTGGACACCGGGATATGTGTACGATGATACATGAAACGATACATTTTCCAGACAGTGTTAAATCTTAATCTTATTTCATTGACTTGATTAAATGGGAGTATGGTGTCGTGGATAATGTGATCATCCTGTCGCACCTGAGTGGTGTAGATGTCAGAGGAAAGACAAATTGGGTCATTGAGGTAGTTAGTAATACAAGCTGTATGTGGATGGTGACAGTATAACACACTGGGTTTCGGTTTCTGGTGATTACCATCTATATGGCAGGTTGCCCGTAACAGGGAAATAGTTTGACAGCTGTGTGTTGCAGACCACATTTAAATTACAGTGCTTCCAAATATTATTTTAGAAATACTGTGGATTGTCAGTGGATTGTATTGTAAATAAATACAAAAGTCTTACAAATGTATGTATTTCAATATAGGAATGTGAGTACTGGAGAATACATTTAGACAGAGGTCCATACAGTGAGGGGAAAAAAAGTATTTGATCCCCTGCTGATTTTGTACGTTTGCCCACTGACAAAGAAATGATCAGTCTATAATTTTAATGGTAGGTTTATTTGAACAGTGAGAGGCAGAATAACAACAAAAGATCCAGAAAAACGCATGTCAAAAATTTTATAAATTGATTTGCATTTTAATGAGGGAAATAAGTATTTGACCCCCTCTCAATCAGAAAGATTTCTGGCTCCCAGGTGTCCTTTATACAGGTAACGAGCTGAGATTAGGAGCACACTCTTAAAGGGAGTGCTCCTAATCTCAGTTTGTTACCTGTATAAATGACACCTGTCCACAGAAGCAATCAATTAATCAGATTCCAAACTCTCCACCATGGCCAAGACCAAAGAGCTCTCCAAGGATGTCAGGGACAAGATTGTAGACCTACACAAGGCTGGAATGGGCTACAAGACCATCGCCAAGCAGCTTGGTGAGAAGGTGACATCAGTTGGTGCGATTATTCGCAAATGGAAGAAACACAAAATAACTGTCAATCTCCCTCGGCCTGGGGCTCCATGCAAGATCTCACCTCGTGGAGTTGTAATGATCATGAGAACAGTGAGGAATCAGCCCAGAACTACACGGGAGGATCTTGTCAATGATCTCAAGGCAGCTGGGACCATAGTCACCAAGAAAACAATTGGTAACACACTATGCCATGAAGGACTGAAATCCTGCAGCGCCCACAAGGTCCACCTGCTCAAGAAAGCACATATACAGGCCCATCTAAAGTTTGCCAATGAACATCTGAATGATTCAGAGGAGAACTGGGTGAGAGTGTTGTGGTCAGATGAGACCAAAATCGAACTCTTTGGCATCAACTCAACTCGCCGTGTTTGGAGGAGGAGGAATGCTGCCTATCACCCCAAGAACACCATCCCCACCGTCAAACATGGAGGTGGAAACATTATGCTTTGGGGGTGTTTTTCTGCTAAGGGGACAGGACAACTTCACCGCATCAAAGGGACGATGGACGGGGCCATGTGCCGTCAAATCTTGGGTGAGAACCTCCTTCCATCAGCCAGGGCATTGAAAATGGGTCGTGGATGGGTATTCCAGCATGACAATGACCCAAAACACACTGCCAAGGCAACAAAGGAGTGGCTCAAGAAGAAGCACATTAAGGTCCTGGAGTGGCCTAGCCAGTCTCCAGACCTTAATCCCATAGAAAATATGTGGAGGGAGCTGAAGGTTTGAGTTGCCAAACGTCAGCCTCGAAACCTTAATGACTTGGAGAAGATCTGCAAAGAGGAGTGGAACAAAATCCCTCCTGAGATGTGTGCAAACCTGGTGGCCAACTACAAGAAACATCTGACCTCTGTGATTGCCAACAAGGTTTTTGCCACCAAGTACTAAGTCATGTTTTGCAGAGGGGTCAAATAATTATTTCCCTCATTAAAATGCAAATAAATTTATAACATTTTTTACATGCGTTTTTCTGGATTTTTTTGTTGTTATTCTGTCTCTCACTGTTCAAATAAACCTACCATTAAAATGATAGACTGATCTTGTCTTTGTCAGTGGGCAAACGAACAAAATCAGCAGGGGATCAAATACTGTTTTCCCCTCACTGTATGTAATCATGACTAACTCAACAAAGCTACCGCTGCGTTCTCACAGGACTGGCATTGTAAGGAGAAATAGCTCTGAGCACATGAAAAAAAAACTGTGAAACCTCAAATAAACCCTGTTACTTTGTTTACAACCGTACAGCCCTTTGAAGTAGAGAAGTGGCCAGTATCTGGAATGCTTTATAACGTCTATTGGCTCTTTGAGTTAGGTGCTGTCTGGCTGAGTAGCCAAGGCAGTGTGTTGATGAACATTTAATAGGCTGGGCCCCGTTTACTGACGGGCCTTTAATAGTAATGTGTGTTCCTCTCCTCTGTTTTTCTCTCTTTGTGTTTTCTCACTCACTTTCTCTGGCTTCTCTCTCGCACTCTCTTTTCTGTGTGTGTGCATGTGTGTACGTCCTTCTCTCTATCTCTCTCTCTCTCATATCTCTCTGTCTTCTCTAGTATATCTCTTGTCTATATACTATCTTAATTTCTCTATGTCTATGGTGAGAGAATTGTATTGATTAGCTGTATGTGTCTATTGTCTCTGTATATCTCTGTTGATGTCATCTAGTCTATGATCTAAGTCTCTATATATGTACTATAATATATCTCTATATCTTCTTACTCTCTCTCTCTGTCTCTGTCTCTGTTCTCTCTCTCTCTCTCTCTCTCTCTCTAGTCTATCTCTGTATCTCTCTGTCTCTATCTGTATTCTCTCTCTCTCTCTCTCTCTCTCTCTCTCTCTCTCTCTCTCTCTCTCTTCTCTCTCTCTTTCTCTCTCTCTCTCTCTCTCTCTCTCTGTCTCTCTGTCTCTCGTCTCTCCGTCTCTCTTTCTCTCAGATCTGGAGGTCAGGCAGCGGTGTTTAGTGCCAGAGGGGGGGCTGTGTTGTCTGTCCTCAGAGCCCAGCACGGTGCTGCCTCCATACAGGGAGTGGAGATGACCGATCAGTACCTACTGCTCTTCTGCAGGTATCTGTTTCATACACTGCTCAAAAAAATAAAGGGAACACTTAAACAACACAATGTAACTCCAAGTCAATCACACTTCTGTGAAATCAAACTGTCCACTTAGGAAGCAACACTGATTGACAATAAATGTCACATGCTGTTGTGCAAATGGAATAGACAACAGGTGGAAATTATAGGCAATTAGCAAGACACCCCCAATAAAGAAGTGGTTCTGCAGGTGGTGACCACAGACCACTTCTCAGTTCCTATGCTTCCTGGCTGATGTTTTGGTCACTTTTGAATGCTGGCGGTGCTTTCACTCTAGTGGTAGCATGAGACGGAGTCTACAACCCACACAAGTGGCTCAGGTAGTGCAGCTCATCCAGGATGGCACATCAATGCGAGCTGTGGCAAGAAGGTTTGCTGTGTCTGTCAGCGTAGTGTCCAGAGCATGGAGGCGCTACCAGGAGACAGGCCAGTACATCAGGAGATGTGGAGGAGGCCGTAGGAGGGCAACAACCCAGCAGCAGGACTGCTACCTCCGCCTTTGTGCAAAGAGGAGCAGGAGGAGCACTGCCAGAGCCCTGTAAAATGACCTCCAGCAGGCCACTAATGTGCATGTGTCTGCTCAAACGGTCAGAAACAGACTCCATGAGGGTGGTATGAGGGCCCGACGTCCACAGGTGGGGGTTGTGCTTACAGCCCAACACCGTGCAGGACGTTTGGCATTTGCCAGAGAACACCAAGATTGGCAAATTCGCCACTGGCGCCCTGTGCTCTTCACAGATGAAAGCAGGTTCACACTGAGCACGTGACAGACGTGACAGAGTCTGGAGACGCCGTGGAGAACGTTCTGCTGCCTGCAACATCCTCCAGCATGACCGGTTTGGCGGTGGGTCAGTCATGGTGTGAGGTGGCATTTCTTTGGGGGGCCGCCCAGCCCTCCATGTGCTCGCCAGAGGTAGCCTGACTGCCATTAGGTACCGAGATGAGATCCTCAGACCCCTTGTGAGACCATATGCTGGTGCGTTTGGCCCTGGGTTCCTCCTAATGCAAGACAATTCTAGACCTCGTGGCTGGAGTGTGTCAGCAGTTCCTGCAAGAGGAATGCATTGATGCTATGGACTGGCCCGCCCGTTCCCCAGTCCTGAATCCAATTGAGCACATCTGGGACATCATGTCTCGCTCCATCCACCAACGCCACGTTGCACCACAGACTGTCCAGGAGTTGGCGGATGCTTTAGTCCAGGTCTGGGAGGAGATCCCTCAGGAGACCATCCGCCACCACATCAGGAGCATGCCCAGGCGTTGTAGGGAGGTCATACAGGCACGTGGAGGCCACACACACTACTGAGCCTCATTTTGACTTGTTTTAAGGACATTACATCAAAGTTGGATCAGCCTGTAGTGTGGTTTTCCACTTAAATTTTGAGGGTGACTCCAAATCCAGACCTCCATGGGTTGATACATTTGATTTCCATTGATAATTTTTGTGTGATTTTGTTGTCAGCACATTCAACTATGTAAAGAAAAAAATATTTAATAAGATTATTTCATTCATTCAGATCTAGGATGTGTTGTTTAAGTGTTCCCTTTATTTTTTTGAGCTGTGTATATTCTGAATGGTGTGTGCGTACCCCAACAACAGAATGGTGTGGGCGTATACCGGTCATTAAAAATATTCACACGAGTAGACCGCTGATTGGCCAGCTCAGGCAACGGGCCAACATGATGTCATGTTATATGAAGACATAGCAATAATTTTTCTAAACGGTCTGCTTGAGATACAAAATGGAGGTGTTTTTTTTTCTCTAATTTATGCTTTGGCCACAAATCCGAGTAGGCCCTATAGGTATGTGTTAACAGAATATAAACTTTTACAAGTGAGATTTTCACTGGACAGTTACTTTTAAGTGCAAGTATGCATCCCCTCCATTACCCATAACCCTCTGTTGTGTATTACAGCACAGAATGCATAGCTCATAAGGCATTATACATGTGTGTATAATGCATTATGAACAGGGTGTTTCTGAAAAGTCTATCATGGCATCATAATCTCATTATCGTATTAGATTTTCTATTAAAGAAACAGAACATTGCTATTCCTCCTCTGGGTACGTTCCTATGTTTATCCCCCCCCCCCCCCCCCCCCCCTCCCCCCCCCCCCCCCCCCCCCTCCCCCTCCCCCCCAGGTACCCTTACAAGCGGGACAGTGAGATCGTTCATATCGAGCTGTTCAGCACAGCCAGTTTCGAGTACCAGCGCTCCGTCCTGGGCTGCAGCCAGGACTACATCTCCCAGGTCACCGTCAACCGGGCAGGGACGCACGTCGTGGCCTTCTGCCCCTCCCCCCTCACCGGCATCACGCAGGTCGTGACATGGAACCTGGAGACAGAGGACCACAAACACATCGCCCGCTTCCCCGGGATATTGACTGCAGGTCAGTACGAAGGCTAGGTGGAGACTTGACAGGCATTGGTTGCTTTCTTGGTTGACTGATTGGAAATCGGTTAGAAAATGTGGTGGAGTTGGAAATTTGAAATGTTCGGTAATGACTACAGAAAAGGCTTCAAGTTCATCCTGCATTATCCTGCAGTGTTTGTGCCAGAGGTGGAGAGACTGCTGTGGATTCATATGGGAAAGCCCAGTGAATAAACATATAACCATTTAATTCACATGACATGACCAATCAGTGAACTCAGGGGACTAACATTGACATTGACAGATACAAACTGTTGACTTTTGATGCTAAATTGACATTGAATTACGTTCAGTAAAAACCTTTTCCTTTTGGTCCTCTCTCCTCCCCTGTCTGTAGGTGTGTGTTTGGAGCTGCGGTTCTGTGTGGGGGTGTGCAGCGGGGAGAGGTACCTGAGGCTCTGGGACCTGTCCTCCAGGATCAATGACCAGACCCTCACCTACAATGTCCACAAGGTGAAGATGGATGGCACAGAGGAGGTCATCCTCACGGGGAAACACCCACGGTAGGTCTTTATCAACAATGTACTATTTACTGTACTGTTTTCGGCATTGTCTCAATAATATTGAGATTAGGATTCTCTGTACTATTTTCTGTATTGTTTAAAAAGTATTCAGTTATTGGTTCCTTTTAACATGTAATTAATCTCAATACTCTAAATGGCTATCCTCCTCTCCTCTCCTTCATATTCATTGTTCTCTAATTACATAGCGTAGTTGAGAAGTGTACATACCCACTGGGGATTTGGTCCTCCTGACCAGCTCTTTCACATCAGTGCAGTTGAAGGAGATGAGACAAGGAGGAAGGAAGCCACTTTAGATGATTAAGATGCTCCCCCTCCCCCCCCCCCCCCCCCCCCCCCCCCCCCCCCCCCCCCCCCCCCCATGCATCTGCTTTGATGTCTTGATCTTTTCCTGGGTCTCATCTCCCTCTGGTGACAGCTACGCGGTGTGCAGGTCCCTACGGCACGGCACGGTACGCGTCTGGAACCTGGCCAGGTCAAGGTTCGCAGGTCGACCAGTCAGGGTGGAGCACGGTCTCTATGGCAACACCGACGTGGCCTTGGTCCATGACCTGAAGCTGTACATCCTGACAGACAGAGGGACGGCCAACTTCACAGACACCCCGTCACCCATATTCCAGGTCACCCCCCTTTATTTATCAGTTAGCCTGGTATCCATACTGAATCCACTCCTGCTCTGCACTGTTGTTTCACTTCATGGCTACACTTGAAGTCACCTCATTAGTTGGCAGTAGTGTACCCGTAGTGACATACAGTGGGGAGAAGAAGTATTTGATACGCTGCCGATTTTGCAGGTTTTCCTACTTACAAAGCATGTAGAGGTCTGTAATTTTTATCATAGGTACACTTCAACTGTGAGAGACGGAATCTAAAACAAAAATCCAGAAAATCACATTGTATGATTTTTAAGTAATTAATTTGCATTTTATTGCATGACATAAGTATTTGATCACCTACCAACCAGTAAGAATTCCGGCTGTTTTAGTCAAACATTATATCTGTTTGGGCTTCTTGCGGTCAATTTGCCGTCTACAAATTTATAATTATGTTCCGGCCCCCCCGACCATCCGCTCAAAGAAAAATCAGCCCGCGGCTGAATTCAGTTGATGATCCCTGGCCTATAGGTTCCAGCCCGGGACTCCTACATGCAACAAGACTGTGTTAACCCACCGAGCTAAAGCCTAGTAATTAATCTTCTGTTTCACTTTCACTCCATAGACTCTACTGGTCTATGACCTGATCAAGAGGAGCTACGTGAGGAGACAGTCTGGTCTCTACATCGTCCCCTGTCCCCAACACGAATATAGACTCCTGGAGGGACAGCTACTCCTGGGCTTGTCTGAGACGAGGCGAGAGCGATTCAGTTACTTGAAACAAGCACCAGCTAACTTAGTCCACTACCTGAAACACCACACCCCAAATACAGTCCCTCTGAGTCCCAGATAACTATTCCCTCTAGCATCCTAATTGGCTCAGTCCTAGATAACTATTCCCTCTAGCATCCTAATTGTCTCAGTCCCAGATAACTATACCCTCTAGCATCCTAATTGGCTCAGTCCCAGATAACTATTCCCTCTAGCATCCTAATTGTCTCAGTCCCAGATAACTATTCCCTCTAGCATCCTAATTGTCTCAGTCCCAGATAACTATTCCCTCTAGCATCCTAATTGGCTCAGTCCCAGATAACTATTCCCTCTAGCGTCCTAATTGTCTCAGTCCCAGATAACTATTCCCTCTAGCATCCTAATTGTCTCAGTCCCAGATAACTATTCCCTCTAGGTCCTAATTGTCTCAGTCCCAGATAACTTTCCCTCTAGCATCCTAATTGTCTCAGTCCCAGATAACTATTCCTCTAGCATCCTAATTGTCTCAGTCCCAGAAACTATACCCTTAGCATCCTAATTGTCTCAGTCCCAGATAACTATTCCCTCTAGCATCTAATGTCTCAGTCCCAGATAACTGATTCCCTCTAGCATCCTAATTGTCTCAGTCCAGATAACATTCCCTTAGCGTCCTAATAGTCTCAGTCCCAGATAAACTATTCCCTCTAGCATCCTATTGTCTCAGTCCCAGATAACTATTCCCTCTAGCATCCTAATTGTCTCAGTCCCAGATAACTATTCCCTCTAGCATCCTAATTGTCTCAGTCCCAGATAACTATTCCCTCTAGCATCCTAATTGTCTCAGTCCCAGATAACTATTCCCTCTAGCATCCTAATTGTCTCAGTCCCAGATAACTATTCCCTCTAGCGTCCTAATTGTCTCAGTCCCAGATAACTATTCCCTCTAGCATCCTAATTGTCTCACAGCTTAACGTTCTTGTGTTCATTGTTGCCCCTAATATGTTTTACCTCATTGTTGTGAACTGGTTTTGGGATGTGGAAGGCCAAGGCTTTTTTTGTCCAAAACCTGTTTTATTTGGACGGTTGGGAGGTAAAGGGATCATAACCTGTTTTATTTGGACGGTTGGGAGGTAAAGGGATCATAACCTGTTTTATTTGGACGGTTGGGAGGTAAAGGGATCATAACCTGTTTTATTTGGACGGTTGGGAGGTAAAGGGATCATAACCTGTTTTTATTTGGACGGTTGGGTGGTAAAGGGATCATAACCTGTTTTATTTGGACGGTTGGGAGGTAAAGGGATCATAACCTGTTTTATTTGGACGGTTGGAGGTAAAGGGATCATAACCTGTTTTATTTGGACGGTTGGGAGGTAAAGGGATCATAACCTGTTTTATTTGGACGGTTGGGAGGTAAAGGGATCATAACCTGTTTTATTTGGACGGTTGGGAGGTAAAGGGATCATAACCTGTTTATTGGACGGTTGGGAGGTAAAGGGATCATAACCTGTTTATTTGGACGGTTGGGAGGTAAAGGATCCATAACCTGTTTATTGGACGGTGGGAGGTAAAGGGATCATAACCGTTTTATTTGGACGGTTGGGTGGTAAAGGGATCATAACCGTTTATTGGACGGTTGGGAGGTAAAGGGATCATAACCTGTTTTATTTGGACGGTGGGAGGTAAAGGGATCATAACCTGTTTATTTGGACGGTTGGGAGGTAAAGGGATCATAACCCGTTTTATTTGGACGGTTGGGAGGTAAAGGGATCATAACCTGTTTATTTGGACGGTGGGAGGTAAAGGGATCATAACCTTTTTATTGGACGGTTGGGTGGTAAGGGATCATAACCTGTTTTATTTGGACGGTTGGGTGGTAAAGGGATCATAACCTGTTTTATTGGACGGTTGGAGGGTAAAGGGATCATAACCTGTTTATTTGGACGGTTGGGTGGTAAAGGGATCATAACCTGTTTTATTTGGACGGTTGGGTGGTAGAAGGATCATAACCTGTTTTTATTTGGACGGGTTGGGGTGGTATAAAGGGTACTTTTTATTAACTGCATACGTTTATTTGGACGGTGGGTGGTAAAGGGATCATAACCTGTTTTATTGGACGGTTGGGTAGGTAAAGGGATCATAACCTGTTTTATTTGGACGGTTGGGTGGTAAAGGGATCATAACCTGTTTTATTTGGACGGTTGGGTGGTAAAGGGATCATAACCTGTTTTATTTGGACGGTTGGGTGGTAAAGGGATCATAACCTGTTTTATTTGGACGGTTGGGTGGTAAAGGGATCATAACCTGTTTTATTTGGACGGTTGGGTGGTAAAGGGATCATAACCTGTTTTATTTGGACGGTTGGGAGTTCTAGGAACCATCTGATGGTGTGGGACCTGGAGTCTGGGTATATCAAAGGGAGGATGAAAGCCTCCCACACAGAGTCTCTCCTGTCCAGCAGCACCGTCAGAGACAGACAGTCCCAGATACAACCAAAGGACACCACAGGTAACAATACCAGAGACCATAACAGAAAAGTAGTGTACGGGGATCTAGCTAAGCTATTTCACTACCATTTGGTGACTATTTCCTCTAGCTGTAGTGATGAAGCTGTAATGATACATTCATATTGCCCTGTGGAGGACTATTTCCTCTAGCTGTAGTGATGAAGCTGTAATGATACATTCATATTGCCCCTTGGAGGACTATTTCCTCTAGCTGTAGTGATGAAGCTGTAATGATACATTCATATTGCCCCTTGGAGGACTATTTCCTCTAGCTGTAGTGATGCCCTGGGACAGACGAACAGACAGCCAGTCTGCTAAGTGGAGGAGGCTGGAGAGGGAGGCCGAGGAGCAACGGAAGCTGGACAGGGAGAAATACAACTCCGTAGACCAGTACCTTCTCAGTGGGGACCAACAGGTAAAATGTACAGTTGAAGTCGGAAGTTTACATACACCTTAGCCAAATACATTTAAACTAACGTTTTTCACAATTCCTGACATTTAATCCTAGTAAATATTCCCTGTCTTAGGTCAGTTAGGATCACCACTTTATTTTAAGAATGTGAAATGTCAGAATAATAGTAGAGAGAATGTAAGTAAGCTTTTATTTATTTCATCACATTCCCAGTGGGTCAGATGTTTACATACACTCAATTAGTATTTGGTAGCATTGCCTTTAAATTGTTTAACTTGGGTCAAACGTTTCGGGTAGCCTACCACAAGCTTCCCACAATAAGTTGTGTGAATTTTGATCCATTCCTCCTGACAGAGCTGGTGTAACTGAGTCAGGTTTGTAGGCCTCCTTGCTCGCACACGCTTTTTCAGTTCTGCCCACAAATGTTCTATAGGATTGAGGTCAGGGCTTTGTGATGGCCACTCCAATACCTTGACTTTGTTGTCCTTAAGCCATTTTGGCACAACTTATGCTTGGGGTCATTGTCCATTTGGAAGACCCATTTGCGACCAAGCTTTAACTTCCTGACTGATGTCTTGAGATGTTGCTTCAATATATCCACATAATTTTCCTTCCTCATGATGCCATCTATTTTGTGAAGTGCACCAGTCCCTCCTGCAGCAAAGCACCCCCACAGCATGATGCTGCCACCCCCGTGCTTCATGGTTGGGATGGTGTTCTTCGGCTTGCAAGGTACCCCCTTTTTCCTCCAAACATAACGATGGTCATTATGGCCAAACAGTTCTATTTTTGTTTCATCAGACCAGAGGACATTTCTCCAAAAAGTACGATCTTTGTCCCCATGTGCAGTTGCAAACCGTAGTCTGGCTTTTCTATGGCAGTTTTGGAGCAGTGGCTTCTTCCTTGCTGAGCGGCCTTTCCGGTTATGTCGATATAGGACTCATTTTACTGTGGATATAGATACTTTTGTACCTGTTTCCTCCAGCATCTTCACAAGGTCCTTTGCTGTTGTTCTGGGATTGATTTGCACTTTTCGCACCAAAGTACGTTCATCTCTAGGATACAGAACGCGTCTCCTTCCTGAGCGGTATGACGGCTGCGTGGTCCCATGGTGTTTATACTTGCGTACTATTGTTTGTACAGATAAACGTGGTACCTTCAGGCGTTTGGAAATTGCTCCCAAGGATGAACCAGACTTGTGGAGGTCTACAAATACTTCTTTGAATTCTTGGCTGATTTCTTTTCATTTTCCCATGATATCAAGCAAAGAGGCACTGAGTTTGAAATAGATCCACAGGTACACCTCCAATTGACTCAAATGATGTCAATTAGCCTATCAGAAGCTTCTAAAGCCATTACATAATTTTCTGGAATTTTCCAAGCTGTTTAAAGGCACAGTCAACTTAGTGTATGTAAACTTCTGACCCACTGGAATTGTGATACAGTGAATTATAGGTGAAATAATCTGTCTGTAAACAATTGTTGGAAACATTACTTGTGTCATGCACAAAGTAGATGTCCTAACCGACTTGCCAAAACTGTAGTTTGTCAACAAGAAATTTGTGGAGTGGTTGAAAAACGAGTTTCAATGACTCCAACCTAAGTGTATGTAAACTTCCGACTTCAACTGTATGTGTGTGTGTGTGATGTATCTTCATCCCACTGATCCCCTCTCTGCCAGGTGGTGGTGTGTTCCTATTTCTCCCACCACCTCAACGTGTTCAGCGTGGGGTCCCAGGACCACCTCCACACCCTGGAGGACAGGACATCCCTGCTGATCCTCCACACCGCTGCCCTCACCCACCCCGGGGGACACCTGGTCCTGGCCAACTACTGCCAGGCTCAACGTACACCCTACCTCACCCTCTGGGACCTGCAGAAAGGCACAGTATGTACACTCTTAGAATTAAAGGGTTCCAAAAGGGTTCATCGGCTGTCCCCGTAGGAGAACCCTTTTTGATTCTAGGTAGGACCCTTTTGAGTTCCATGTATAACCATCTGTGGAAAGGGTTGTACGTGGAACCAAAAAGGGTTCAAAATATAACCTTTTCTTGAGTGTATTTGTATCAGATTCAAATAGCTTTATTGTCCATCTGGGATCACTGACAACACTATTTTCCAGTACACTGGCTAAATTATTTGACCCCCCCCCCCCCCACCACCCCATTTCAAATTATAGTTTCAAATTATTGAATTTTGTACACTTGTGAAGGTGAGGAAAAGATTGAAGAACGAGCCAGGAGTCTGTTGTGTGGCGATCACAGATGACGCCAGCAGAGTCGCCTTTGGGGTCAGCGGATGTAACAAGTAATACGTTTCCAAATGACACGTGACTCACAAACACATGACATATAGCATCTCTCAGAGCCATGTAGTTACACCTATCATCCTGGTCTGTCACAATGAGAAAGCTCATGCTTATCTCTTCTCCTGATTAGGCTTAAAGTGTGGGATCCCTTCAGGAGGAATCACAAGACTATCTCTGGCTACGCCAGCCTGAGACTAGGAGGGTCCAACCAGCTTTATATCACTGAGGGAGGAGCCAAAGCCATTCTACTAGCAGGTAAGGACAGAGATTACTTTAGATTTTCAGCTATCTTTCCCTTTGTAGAAAAGTGAGATTAGGTTTCTCTGCACTGAAATATTTTGGCAATTTCTTCTAAAATTTGTTGAAATTGAAAATACATATGGTTTTCAAACAAAAGTCTAAACTCACTTCAAAGTCAAAGATAATCTGGACTAAATTATTCAGATACATTTGGCTGGAGGAAAGTAATTCTCGACAAGTGTAATTTATCCTACTTGTGGTAACTGGCCATTCAACCAGTTTTGAAAAGAGAAAACAGAACATTCTGCTCCATTGCAAAGGTGCCAATATATTTGAGCACATCTGTGGGTGATAGGAGTGAGTGGAACAGTGTGTTCACGGACAACTGATAGGTGTTTGTTCACACTCAGGTGAAAGTAGTGTTACAATGCGTTTATTTATGTAGTGCCACACAGGTGATCGTAAAAGTGACAATTCATGCCCTTCGTGTGTTTGATTATTCACACAGGTGAGCTGAGCCTATGGGACCTGGAGGCCTGCAACGTCCTGTCTGTCCTCTCCCCAGATGCCCACGTACAGTGTCTGACCCTCCTCGGAGGAGACGGAAATAGTAGCGCCCTATTGTTAGGCCTTAGCCACAGTCCTGCCCTCATCACAGTCAGGCTGACGTCACAATCACATGGGGGGGTCGCCACGGCAACCAACGTCAGGGACGACGACTTGTTCGCAGAGTCCAGTAGTAGCGAAGATGGAGATGACTAGGACAGTCAGGCTGGAGTAGAGATTGTTCTGGAACTTTATTTGATATATATTCTTTTTTTTTTATCATGCTTTGAGTATTTTGAAATATCCTGATTTACTAAAGACACTTCTTCAGCCTTCGAACAGGATGACCTGATAAGCAGAATGGAATGTAAAATGCATATTTCAAGAAAATACAAGTATTGGTCCCCGATCTGCAATTACTTTTTTTTAATGGCTATAACAAAAACAAATTTTACATGCTATTACACTAGTTTGACAAAGAATATGTAGAATGTCTTCACAAACATGAAAGACCATTCCAGACCGTGCCCCAGATTATCATCTCTATATAGTAAATCTAAGCGCTGCACCGGAGGATGGTCAATTGAAATGACAGTTGGGAAATAAATAATATCACCTTAAATGTGACAGTCTGTCAAATCCCAACTCAGGTAAGCACCTCACATAAGGCAGTAACAGAGCAATCTACCCCTCCGTCTGCCATACAAAAACATAGCACAATGAACCATTTAGCCCCATCTGGTAGTGACCAAATCAATAGATCGAGACTTGTTGATTTGGAACAGATTTATTTTTAAACCACATAAGAAATTAAACTTACTCAACTGAAAGAACATGGGGAAGAACATAATGCATTCATTTTCACAAAAAGAGGACATCATTCAGGTACATTACATCAAGTCAAAATGGCTAGTAAGCCAAAATATGCTTTTTGAGTTACTTTAATTCTGTTTTGCCAAGTGTTGAGTAACACACGATAGAACCAGAAGATGGCAGCTTTAGGCTTCTTAAAGTAAACATCTGGTTTCCCAGAATAACCTTTAGGCTTCAGGGTGGGTCGCCAGTATTTTAACAGCACCTGTTCAGTATTGGTCAAATCCTTTACTCAGAGTAGGCGCTGCTGGAAATAGTGTTCCGATTGAGCTCTCAAAACTTCACAACATTTTGAAATACCTTGAATGACTCACTTTGACAAACTCAACCCTCAGTTCGGCAATGTTCCCGAGAGGAAAGAGACGACTTGTCACTACTACCTGGACCTCCGGTCCTTTTTGTTCTTGTCCAGGCTTTTGTCCATAGTCTTTTCATTGTCCCCTCTGCACTTGGGACAGAACCACTTACCCTTGGGCTTGTAGGTGAGCCCCACGCAGGAGAAGTGGAACCACTCGATGGGGCACGCATCGTTGTCACAGCCAATCATCTCGCCGTAGGACACCTGCACGCATAGGCAGTAGGTGGGCTCGTTGGGGTCGATGGTGAACTCCACAGGCGAGGCGTCGCGCTCCTGCTTGGCCTTGCGCTTCTTCTTCTTGGCAGACTTGGACCTCTTCTCCCGTGGCTGCACAGGAAGCTCGTCCGCTGGGTCATCCATCACCGTTCCATTCCCTGAGGCATGGTTGGAGTCGCGGCTCTCGCTGTTGCGCTGGCGTCTCGGCCGGCGGGCAGAGGAGCGCTCAGCAGGCGTGGACACCACCGCCTCCTGGACGGAACCGGAGCGCCGCTCGGTGACGACCCGCTCCCGCTCGCTGGCCTCGCTGGGCTCCTGGAGGCAGAGGGAGTGGGAGTCCATCTGGCGGGAACGGTTCTCTACCAGCTCAGTCATCTGGGTGACCACATGGATCTTCTCGTCGCCCAGCTCCTGGCTGCTGATGAGGGCCCGCTGCAGCTGGATCTGAAGCCTCTTACGCTGTGCCGCATCCCGCTCGCCCTGGTAGCGCTTGTAGACATCATCAACCTCCTTCAGGACCTCTGCAAAGCACAAAGAATGAGAAGAGTTCAATATTAGGATGGGTGTCTTATGCAATTGTTGAGTTACTATTGGAGTTGAGAAATTATCATCGGGAATACAATAATATCTGACGCTGTGTCAGTCAGAGGCTAGAGGAAACGTTTACCTACTCAATGAAGCTCCTGGTAGGAACCGGGGGTTAAATTCTTTACGAATTTCCCTGGTGTGCACAATTGTATGCATATATAATAGCTGCTGCAAACTGTAGGAGCACTGGAAATCAGCTAATGACAATCTGACAAACTAGTAATAAGACGGAAGAGCTATATGAATTTATAGATTCCTTCCTACTTCCGCATTGGTTTATATTCAGGAAGTGACGACACTTTCCGCCTGATCAGGGGTCGTCACTAGACGCCACAAAGTCATAAACCCCGCCTGTTTCTACAATTGTTTTCTTAAAATCTGATTTTAAACCTAACCACAATGCTAATCTTATGCCTAACCTTAAATTAATAGTAAAAAGCGAATTTTTGTTTTCATGAATTTGTACGATATAGACAATTGGCTGTGGTAACTAGTGACAGCCCTGGTCAGGGGGTTGTCCCTCTTTTCTTACTAAAGTGGATCACACACAAACGACTACAACAACACTTGGGCGTACAACTGTCAGACGAAGTACTGGCAAAATCACCTTCTCGTACATGGCACATTTTCATCACCGGCGGATTGCAACCATGACCATTTCGCTATTTCTCTAGCAAGCAGAGTGATCAGTTTATTGAGCTAAGCTAGCTAATAGCTACGGAGCTTTGTACTACGAATGTAACACTTGCTAGCAAACACAGTCTACAATAAGTCAACATCCCTTGCAAAGTAAATATAAAAACGCATGCAAATAAAAGGTTTACCAACTCTTTAAGTAAGCCGCTAAACGCCACAATAACGCCCCTCTTGCCAAAATGGCTGATCTGTGGATATCAATCTCATTGTTATCGAGCCAACTTGGACCTCACTTCGGATACGTTGTTGTTATGGATAACAAATTGAAGGCATACATAGCTACTCGATAGACGAACCTAACGTTATATTTCAGCAAGAAAAAAACTAGCGTTCAATAGTAGCTAGCTAACGTTAGCTAGCTGCTAGTGTGTGGGGCATTACATAACTAGCTACTGTAGCTGCCTAAAGTGAATCGTGCACTGGTCAATACAGCGCACTCATTTTTTACGATTTTATCGTCAAACGCTTAAGTAAAACCACCAAAACAACGAAAGGGTAAACAATACCTTGATACTTTGAGTCAATTTCTCGTAGCAGAGAGACATTTCTTTGTATATCCAAAGGCAGGGACTCAACACATTCCAAATAATCCTCCACATAGTTCACCAGTTGTGACTTTTCTACGTTTGGGTAATGATTATGACCTAACATTGTTACACCGATGCATCGAGACAAGAAAACATAGATTTGAGATAATACATTTAAGCTAGCTAGTATGGTTTCTAATGGGCAGTTCCATCCGCAAGCGAACTGCAGCAGTTCACTTCAAACAAAACTGCACCCACTGCGCATGCGCGAGTGTATTCCTTTTATGGCAATGCGTTGCATTTTTACTTGACAAGGGGGGGGGGCGGGCCATTCATATATTCTAGCTTTTGGATTGGCTGTGAACAAAAGACACTGATTTGTCGCAGCAGTGTTAGGCTACAATGTTACGTTTGTCAACAACTGTTATCACCGACGTGACCACTAGATGGAGCTGTAGGCCTACTCCGTCCAGCTACAATGGTAACTAGAAACGTAAACAAATCATCTGTGGCGACAAATGAAGGATCTAACTCTTTTCCATAATGTTAACCTCATGCCCCTAACCTGCTATGTTAGTTCTCCTAACCTGCCACGTTAATTATGCTAACCTGTCCGTTAATTATCCTAACCTGCTATGTAAACAAACCATCTGTGGCAACAAATTAACAATATCACCACATTTGTATTATGAACTTTTACCAGAAAAGTAAGCCATTAATTGGTATTTCATTAGCATCCCCATTAGCTGTTGCGAAAACAGCATCTACTCTTACTGCGGTGTACAAAAAACATGAAACATGACATAATACAGAACATTAATAGACAAGAACAGCTCAAGGACAGAACTACATACATTTTAAAACGGCACACATAGCCTACATATCAATACATTCAAACAAAATATATAGGTCAAATAGGGGAGAGGCGTTGTGCCGTGAGGTGTTGCTTTATCAGTTTAATTTTTTTTAAACCAGGTTTGCTGTTCATTTGAGCTATATGAGATGGAACAGAGTTCCATGCAATAATGGCTCTATATAATACCGTACGCTTTCTTGAATTGGAACTGGATTTGGGGACTGTGAAAAGACCCCTGGTGGCATGTCTGGTGGGGTAAGTGTGTGTGTCAGAGCTGTGTGTAAATTGACTATGCAAACAATTTGGAATTTTCAACACATTGTTTCTCATAAAAATAAGATATGATGCAGTCAGTCTTTCTTCAACTCTTAGCCATGAAAGACTGGCATGTATAGTATTTATATCAGCCCTCTGATTACAATGACGAGAAAGACGTGCCACTCTGTTCTGGACCACATGACTGGACAATAATCAAGATAATACAAAACTAGAGCCTGCAGGACTTGTTTTTTGGAGGGTCAAAAAAGCAGAGCATCTATTTATTATGGACAGACATCTCCCCATCTTTACAACCATTGAATCTATATGTTTTGACCATGACAGTTTACAATCTAAGGTAACACCAAGTAATTTAGTCTCCTCAACAGCCACACCATTCATTACCAGATTCAGCGGAGGTCTACCGCTTTGGGAATGATTTGTACCAAATACAATGCTCTTAGTTTTAGAGATGTTCAGGACCAGTTTATTTTACTGGCAACCCATTCCAAAACTGACTGCAACTACTTGTTAAGGGTTTCAGTGACTTCATTCGCCATGGTTGCTGACACGTATATGGTTGAATCATTAGCATACATGGACACACATGCCTTGTTTAATGCCAGTGGCAGGTCATTGGTAAAAATAGAAAAGAGTAGAGGGCCTAGCTTGGCCACTTTCCACTGCAGATGTGGAAGGCCGATATCTCTAGTTTAAACTGATGGATTTTGATGGGGATTTCTTTATTAGGGTACTAGGGGGTAACTAGCCCCCTGGGGTAACTGCCCCTGGGGTAACTGCCCCTGTAACTCACATAAAGACCACAAGATGCCACCAAATTATTTCCCCAACACTTTTCCTGGCTGCCACAGCTCTTGCTCAGCAAAAAATGTCCATCACAACTTTTGGAGATATTTCAACAAAACCAATTTTGTGGTAAATTGATCAAATTTTTTGAAATGTTGGAAAAAGTTGTAGATATATTCCAATTAAGTTAGATCTATAATAGTTTTTTTTAAATATACAAGTAGGAAAGCCTTAAGACAAATAATCCACTTGTTTAGAGAGAAACAAGCAATTGTTACATACCAAAAGACCTATGATAGTAATTGATGCCCCATTTCTGGTGAGCTTGTGGAGTAAACAGTTAATATTCTTGATCACCAATTTTTTTTGGAGGTGCATATTTATTTATTATGGCAATCAGGGGCGCAACTTTGGTTTTAGAAGTGGGTTACATATATATATTTTATCGAGTCGGATAAACACTCCAAACAGCCTACCCGACCGCTCGGATGCGTCCGCATGGTCCTAAAGCACACCGTCGCCTCTTTTTTGTATCACATTCCAATGATCCAAACTGTGGGGGACAAAAATGCCATTTCAGAATGTGGGGGGGACATGTGCCCCCTGTCCCAAGTGAAAGTTGCGCCCCCCCCCCCGATGGCCATCCTCTCTCCCTACAATGTGACGTTTGCTCTGCACCCAATCCTATCTGTACAGCAAATCATCAATCTGTTCGCTAGCTCACCCGGCCTGTGTTGATTGACAGTTTGCTGGTCAAATCAGAGTGCCCGAGTGTGCGTTTCACTAGCCAATCTGTTGCAGTTATTTTTTTGCAAGGGCGATACTGCGGATACTGTCTCTGGCTGCGTGTAGAGTCATCCAGTAGACACTGTGCCACAAAATGAGTGACAAAACATTACAAACACCGGCCAGATCATTTCAAGTCATTAGTCTCAAGTCAAAGTCTTGAGGCTCCAAGTCAAGTCTCAAGTTATTTTATGTTCTATCAAGTCAAGTCTCAAGTCATCAAATTCGTAACTTGAGTCAGACTCCAGTCCGAGCCATGTGACTCCAGTCCACAACTGCTATTTTCAGCCCTTTCCTGGCTAGCTTCTCAGAGTACTTTAAACTTGTTTTTAGAAGATGTTACTCCTTTCTCCAGCTGCAAAACAGTTGTTCACTGGACTTTTCTAGTATAATGCTTTTTAATGAAAGAGTTGTCTTGACATTCACAGTGTAGCAGCACCCAAAGTGCTCAGTTCCCTAACTTCCCTTTCCATTATCAAAACAAAAACATTTGGGTTTGTCAAAATGCAGAGGCACTTTAAAACACTTGATAGATCTTGTGACCATTTTCAGCACACCCTGTGTGTTTTTATCAACTCTCTTCCTCATAACCTAGAGAACAAGATATACAAGTTCTGACAGGAAACACCAAAAAGCTAAATCCCTCGCTCTCAATTCAATTCATAGGGCTTTATTGGCATGGGAAACATATGTTTACATTGCCTAAGCAAGTGAAATATATAATAAACAAAAGTGAAATAAATAATACATGGACAGTAAACATTACACTCAGACATTTCAAAGGAATAGAGACATTTCAAATGTCATTATGTCTATATACAGTGTTGTAATGATGTGAAACAGTTAAAATACAATAAAGAAACATAACTATGGGTTGTATTTACAATGGTGTTTGTTCTTCACTGGTTGCCCTTTTCTTGTGGCAACAGGTCACACATATTGCAGCTGTGATGGCACACTGTGGTATTTCACCCAGTAGATATGGGAGTTTATCCAAATTTGATTCTAATTCTTTGTGGGTCTCTGTATTCTGAGGGAAATATGTGTCTCTAATATGGTCATACATTTGGCAGGAGGTTAGGAAGTGCAGCTCAGTTTCCACCTCATTTTGTGGGCAGTGTGCACATAGCCTGTCTTCTCTTGAGAGCCAGGTCTGCCTACGGCGGCCTTTCTCAATAGCAAGGCTATGCTCACTGAGTCTGTACATAGTCAAAGCTTTCCTTAATTTTGGGTCAGTCACAGTGGTCAGGTATTCTGCCACTGTGTACTCTCTGTTTAGAGCCAAATAGCATTCCAGTTTGCTCTGTTGTTTGGTAAATTATTTCCAATGTGTCAAGTAATTATGTTTTTGTTTTGTTATGATTTGGTTGGGTCTAATTGTGTTGTTGTCCTGGGGCTCTGTGGGGTCTGTTTGTGTTTATGAAGAGAGACCCAGGACCAGCTTGCTTAGGGGACTCTTCTCCAGGTTAATCTCTATGTAAGTGATGGCTTTGTTTTGGAAGGTTTGGGAATCGCTTCCTTTTAGGTGGTTTCTGCAGAATTCTGCATGCAGAGTCTCAATTTGGTGTTTGTCCCATTTTGTGAATTCTTGGTTGGTGAGTAGACCCCAGACCTCACAACCATAAAGGGCAATGGGTTCTATAACCGATTCAAGTATTTTTTGCCAGAACCTAATTGGGATGTTGAAAAATTAAAAACGGAAATATCACATTTACATCAGTATTCAGACCCTTTACTCAGTACTTTGTTGAAGCACCTTTGGCAGCGATTACAGCCTTGAGTCTTCTTGGGTAAGACGCTAAAGCTTGGCATACCTGTATTTGGGGAGTTTCTCCCATGCTTCTCTGCAGATCCTCTCAAGCTCTGTCAGGTTGGATGGGGAGCGTTGCTGCACAGCTATTTTCAGGTCTCTCCAGAGATGTTCGATCGGGTTCAAGTCCGGGCTCTGGCTGGGCCACTCAAGGACATTCAGAGACTTGTCCCGAAGCCACTCCTGCATTGTCTTGGCTGTGTGCTTAGGGTTGGTGTCCTGTTGGAAGGTGAACCTTCGCCCCAGTCTGAGGTCCTGAGTGCTCTGGAGCAGGTTTTCATCAAGGATCTTTCTGTACTTTGCTCCGTTCATCTTTCCCCCGATCCTGACTAGTCTCCCAGTCCCTGTCGCTGAAAAACATCCTAACAGCATGATGCTGCCACCACCATGCTTCACCGTAGGGATGGTGCCAGGTTTCCTCCAGACGTGACGCTTGGCATTCAGGCCAAAGAGTTCAATCTTGGTTTCATCAGACCAGAGAATCTTGTTTCTGATGGTCTGAGACTCCTTTAAGTGCCTTTTGGCAAACTCCAAGCGGGCTGTCATGTGCTTTTTATTGAGGAGTAGCTTCCGTTTAGCCACTCTACAATAAAGGTCTGATTGGTGGAGTGCTGCAGAGATGGTTGCCCTTCTGGAAGGTTCTCCCATCTCCACAGAGGAACTCTGGAGCTCTGTTAGCGTGACC